TATATCTAATTAGCAATCTTTTGGTATTTATATTGCATATCTCCTGTAAAATTCAAGTTAATATGCGTTTATCCTCTCGTCAAGTACCTCATCCGTTTATATTCTTAAGCAATTATGTGTAGTGCAATTGTAGATCGAGAACGATCTCTTTTCATAATTGTTTAAATTGTAAGTCATAATTATTTAACATTCTCTGTTTATTTACATGTCACATGTTTATTACTTCTACCACGACACTGACAACTAGTTAGATAGCAGATCAAAACAACGTGAAGAAAACAAATTTAAACTGATTAAATGTGATTTTGGAGTATCGCAGAATACAAACTATAATTTTAGTATTTCATGTATAGTAGTAAAGATCTTTTTTTAAAAATTGATCAGAGAAAATATAGTGAATGTTTTTAACTGTCAAATTCTAAAATAAATTTATATACAACATGCCAGCTCTTCAGCTGGAAAGCAGAAAGATCGTTTGGAAGCGTTCATTCTAGTACGATCATGATGTTATTTCTGACGCTCCATTAGCTAACTAAGTAGTTAATGCTGTATGCATGCATAATAGTATTTTAAGAATACTTTTATATGTTATTAACTGCTGGAATTGATATTTTGATGTTAAACTCATTGACAGTTTTGTGCATTAAACATACAGATCGAGCAAATACGGTGTGTTATTATTCTGTGTGAGCAGATGAGTTATAGAATTTTACCTAAATTTTTTATTATTTTGTTCGTTTTTAGAGTTTATTTTCGTATAGTTAATTCATTTATTTTTTACTTTTTTATCGTTTAACATATACGCATGTGCTTACGTTTTAGAAAATAAGCCTTAAACAACAGTTCAGTTATTGATGTTTGTCGATGAAAATATTTTTTGAACATATTCAGTTTCATTTAAATATTTATTCGCGAACAACAATGACTGTTCTTATAAACGATTGGTTCGATAGCAAACTCTCGATACAATTTGCTATTTACGGTATACTAACAACAATTCTCTCCTATTGTCTCTGGTGGAGAGGACGAAAAACCGTTGAATCACCCGTAATTCAAGCAATACAAACGTAGGTAGCAGTGAATAACGTCGTTAACTAGAGCATTCATTTTTCTTTACTTTCTGTTATCAATCTTTGAGATTACCAACAAAAATTGGCACAACGAATGGAAGTTTTGTTGATCGTATGCTACATGGAAATAAAACAATGGTTCTCTTTTATGGATCACAAACAGGTAAACTTGTTCTTCTAGTTGAGAATGTACACAAATAAGACAAACGTAATTTTTTGTCTCACAATAATGTCCAAGTTGGAAAACTGCATTTGTCGTTTTATATATTAGGTACAGCTGAAGATTTTGCTCAAAGACTTGCTAAACAAGCAAAACGATATGGCATTGCCGCTATGGTTGTTGATCCAGAAGAAACTGAAATGGTAAGTCAGAATAGATGTGTTTGTTTAAAATTTAGTGAAAGTGAATTTATTTTGAAAATAATTGCATTGTATATCATGTTTTCGTTCATTTTCAAAAGTTTTAAGAAATTTAAGATTAACGTTATAAATCATGTACATCTTCTGTATCTTTTAAAATTACATTTCTTTCATTAAAAAACAACTGCTAATTTTCCACAGATGTCAAAAAAACTTTAACTTTTGTTCATTTGTTTTAAAGGAAGACCTCCAGCGTCTGGTTACAATTGAAAATCATTTAGCTGTATTTACTGTAGCGACCTATGGCGAAGGTGATCCAACAGATAATGCTCAAGAATTCTATGAATGGTTAAGACAAGATGCAAATGATTTAAACGGTTTACATTACGCTGTAAGAAAAAATTATTTTATTTTCTAAACTATTTGAGTAATTTTATTTTACAATTGAATTTTAGGTATTTGGTCTTGGAAACAAAACTTATGAATATTATAACGCTGTTGGAAAGTATGTTGATAGACGCTTATCAGAATTGGGCGCTGTTCGAGTAGCCGAATTAGGAATGGGTGATGATGATGGAAATATTGAAGATGATTTTATTGCATGGTCAGCAGTCTTTTGGAAAAATGTTTGTCAAAAATATCGATTAGTTCGTGATACAGATGAAAGCACGTAAGTTAATTTTTTCTAAGAATTATGTCAGACAATGTCAAAATATTATTCTTTATAGAATGAGACAATACAAATTAATTAAAGACATTTTTCCACAAGAGACAATATTTACTGGTGAAGTTGGTCGATTAAAATGTTATGAAAAACAAAAATCGTAAGTCTATTAAAACGTAATGAAAAAAGACAATATACAATATTATTAGTTGTTATTTTTCTAGACCATTCCATCTTCGTAATCCATTTTTGGCACCTATTTTAGCAAACAAAGAACTATTCAAACCTGATAGTCTACGTTCATGTCTTCATCTTGAATTAGATTTAACAAATTCTAGACTAAGGTAATGTTTGAAAATAGATCTTTTGTATATATTCTAATATTATTATTTCTAATATTTATATATAGTTACGAGACTGGTGATCATGTTGCCATTTTTCCAACAAACGATTCTTATTTAGTAAATCATATTGGAGAATTATTAGGAGTTGATTTAGATGAAGTCATATCACTTGTCGATTTTGATGGTAAATAATATTAAATTTGTTATTTAATCAGTGAATATTCGATCATTCTATTATAGAAGATGCACAGAAAAAAAATCCATTTCCTTGTCCATGTAGTTATCGTACAGCATTAACACACTATCTTGACATAACAAGTGTACCAAATACTCAAATTTTAAAAGATATTGCTCAATATGCCACAGATGAAAGTGAACGGGCATTATTAACATTAATGGGTTCCTATTCTGAAGATGGAAGAGTATGTTCGTCATTTATTGTTGATGAATATAACTTTTAAATGTTATTTTTATTATTAGATCAAATATAAAGATTGGGCATTAGATGGTTGTCGATCCATTGTTGTTATTTTAGAAGATTTACCATCGTTAAAACCACCACTCGAATATTTATGTGAAGTATTACCGAGACTACAAGCTCGTTACTATTCAATATCCTCATCTTCCAAAGTAAATGAAGTTTTTTGTCATTTATTATTATTATTCATAGAAGAGTTTATTTTTGTTTTTAAAAATAGATTTATCCCACAAGTGTTCATCTTACTGCTGTTGTTGTACAATATTTAACACCCACTCAACGAATAGCAAAAGGTGTGGCAACTAATCAGTTTAGACGAATGTATTTAAAAGAATATGATCCAAAACCAATTTTTTATGATAATAATAATAATGATGAAACATCGTTCTGTTATCGTTTACCAATCTATATAAGAAAATCAACATTTCGATTACCATTCAAATTTCAAACACCTATTATTATGATCGGTAAGTTAATAATAAGTTTGTCAAATATATTTTTGTTCTTAAAATATTTTAAAAATTGATTTTAAAAACAAATATTTATTGAAAATATAAATTTTAGGTCCAGGAACTGGTTTAGCTCCATTCCGTGGATTTATTCAAGAGAGACATTTTCAAAAAATACAAGGTAAAATAAACAACAATTACCGTTTAATTAAATTATTAAATTATTTTTGATGTTATTTTAGGTAAGCCTGTTGGTGAGACAATATTATATTATGGTTGTCGAAAACGTGATGAAGATTTTCTCTATGAAGACGAATTAAAATATTATGAAAGTGAAAAAACGTTAGAATTACATGTTGCATTTTCACGCGATCAAGAGCATAAAGTATATGTAACACATTTATTACGATTAGATGGTGAAAAACTGTGGAAATTAATAATAAATAATAATGCAAATCTATATGTTTGTGGAGATGCTAAACATATGTCACGCGATGTACAGATGATCATTGTAGATATAGCGCAATTATTTGGTGGTCTGACATCAGAAGGAGCCATGGCATTTGTTAAAGATTTAATTGTAAAAGGACGTTATTCACAAGATGTATGGAGCTAATGGTTATGATCATCTGATGTTTTTTTTTATAATTGTGCTGCTATTTATTTTAATTAATTTATCAATTCTATTTTTCATATTTTATAAGTACTGGTTTACTCTCAGTTCATCCAGTTATTATATACTATTTCAGCAGTAATAAAGTGTAATTACAAACCGCTCTGTGACATTAATACTTCTGATTGATATCACTGCGTTGAATTTTTGTTCTATTATCAAAATGTCTTTGATGTTTCGATCAATAAACGAGAAGTGGAATCTAAAATGTAAGGTAATCAAAGAAACGAAATACAATTTATAAGAGTTGCCAGACCGGTTGAAAAAGTCAACCAGGCTGGTAGAGATCGGTATTTCATCGGTCGAAACTTTTGAAACAGCTGCTCGTTTTATCCTGTTTTTCGTCAAAAAACTAAAATTTCACATCTTTTTCAGTCAGAATAAATAAGACGATGCTCAAGACAGATATTATTCTCATCACTTGTCATAAGGTTAAATGTTATAGACTCGTTATTGTGTGTCGGGTGTTACCTTCCAAAGTAACATCAATATTCAAAACAACAATAAACACAAATATTATACAATAATTAGTAGAGAAACCTTCGGTCAAATGATTAAATTTCTGGTCGAGAATAGTTATTTCACTCTAGGAAAGATTGTTGTTAAACAAATCATTGGAATACCAATGGGCACAGATCCCGGGCCCCTTTTAGCAAATTTGTTCTTGTACAAATCAGAATTTGAATTTTTAGATAAAAATACAAAAAAAGTTGTATTCAACATGCAGATCATTAATAACACCTTTCGTTACATTAATGATCTAATTACAATAAATGCTGATGATAAATCCAATCTGCATCAAATGTCCATATATCCATCGCAACTGACGTTGAACAGAGAAAATGTGAGCGATCAAATCTCTACATTTCTAGATTTTGAAATGGCTATCGTTAGTGGTGTAATACAAATTGAACCGTATGATAAAAGAACAAAATTCGGTTTTAAAATTGTAAATTACCCGGATTTGAATGGAAATTTTCCGAAAATGATGGATTATGGTGTAGTTATTATACAATCACATGTCACAAAACTTTCGGTAGACAAAGACAAAAAATTTTGTTAGGCAATCTAATAAATTTTTTCGGCTGAGAAAATGGATCTCCGCGACCCAAATCGGGACTGATGAACTAACGTTTAATTTGAAAATTGCTCAACAGGAAGTGGCGTTAGTTTTTAACTTTTTCAAAGAAAAGTGGCTTCTTAAAGGTCCTTCGTAGCTTTTGAACGCTTTCTGAATGATTTTAAAAGTGCTCGGGTTTCCCGTTAAAATGAAGTCACGGCGCCTTCCACACAACACACACGGTACTAAAACCCATTAGCAGGTAGATGGAATCACAGAACGATGGTGATTTGATGTTCTCTTCGTCTAGCAACAGCATCCCTTGGCCGTTAGATCATTAAACAGTAACTCCAGTACTCACTCACTCACTCACATATTTTCTCCATGAGATAAATATTTATTAAAGTAAGATTCCTCTTATATTTGTCTAAGATCTTAAACGAACCTTACTAAGACCATAAGGCCCGAAAATTCTAAGATTTGGTAAGATTTTTCTAAGATCTTAGACAAACATAAGCAAAATCTTACTAAGACCTTATTAAGATTTTTCTAAGATCTTACTAAGATTATACTATCTAAGATTTTTTCAGAACTGGATAAGAATCTGTTAGGCTCTTAATAGTAGGAACGACGACGTTTTATAAATAATATTCATTAGAAATATGCTGAAAGTTTTTCAATTTTTAATCCGCATTATCCAAAGCAGCAGTTGAATAATGTTGAAAAATGAAGAGAAGTTTCATATTTTCGGGTGTCCAACTATGGACCTTGACCCGCATGTAAACTCTCTAAAAAGTTATTGAACACTTTCGAGAGAGCAAGTACTAGCAGAGTCTGAAAGAAACATAACCATAAAATCACTCATATTTTCGGTATTACTTATATAGATGAATGAGAGCAAAACAAAGGGGTGAATGAAAGTTGAGTCATTAATCTTATTGAGATCTTAAACGATAAGATCTTAGATTATCTTATCAAAATCTTAGAGAATACGATCGTATAAGAGCTTAGCAAGATAATTTTAAGAAGTGTCTAAGATTTTTACTAGGGATCTGTCAAGATCCAGTTTATATTAGAAGTTACAATTTTCAATCTCTTTCATTTCCACTACATTGTAAAGTTGGAAATTATTTATGGAAATTTCTGGTGAACGTCTCAGATTTTTGGACCTTGCTACCAAAACTTCGTGCCACCACTGTCTCTGCCTAAATCAAAACCCTTGCTGGCATAGGCAGAATTGTGATCTAAAGTAGAAACTGTCAAAGTTGGTTTAAGTGTAATATGAGTGTCTTTACGTGACGCTCTTATACCTACACTGATTGCAAAACAAAAGGATGAATAAGTATTTGATCTAGAAATTCCTGAGCGAATTGCCACTTTCTAGAAAATCACCGAGGAATTTCTAATTTATAGAAAATCAAAATCGAATTTCCAGATTCTTGGAAATTATTTATAGAAAATCCTCGGCGATTCTCCACCTTTATAGAAAATCGAATTTATGGAAAATTTAGTCGATTTTCTATAAAGCAGAAAATCAACATTTCCTAGAAAGCTGGAAATTCGTCGAGGAATTTCTATAAACTAGAAAATCCCCGGCGATTTTTCGGTCGATTTTCTATAAACTGGAAATTAATTCAAGATTACAGTGTATGATAACTCAGAAATCATTTGCATTTTAGATTTTACATGAAAATGGTATCAATCCAGGTCACGAAAATGTTTTATAGACTTATTCTATAGAATTCTATAGAATTGTAAATAAAGAAACATGAATGAGTCAGATATCCTTATAAGGATATCTGACACATTCATGTTCCTTTTTCCCAACTATTGTATATCAATGCCACATGAACTATTCTTTTCTATAATCAGAATTAGATAGCAGTTTCAAATGGTCTTAATTATAATTATTTATTGATCATACATTTTGCAAATAGTTTCTCATTACCACAAGTCAACAGAGTAGTAACAATCCAGACAAGGAATACATCATTCTCTAATTGTTCTGTAATGTCATAAGTTCTCCTTAGTATAAAGTTACTATCCCAGTTAATATAGTCCTTTCATAGTTTTACTCAACAGTAATGTAATCTACAAAAAAACAAAACAAAATAATCTCAAATCTAGCTAGTTTTAAAAGTGGCTGTTTTAAATTGAAAAATGTGTAAAAACAGATTCTTTCTTCAACAGAATTTTGAAATAATTAACTTTTTCAGTGAAAACATTTCACGTGTATGTTAACGTGTCTACAACAATTTCACTTTGTTAAAGGATAGCTGATACCTAACCGTTCAGTCAGTGTTTGAACAGTTTTTTCATATTCATTATTTAGATTTGTTGCTTGTTGTAATGCAAATTTCAAATCTTCAACTTCTTCAAAAAAACCATCATCTAAAACACTTAACTCTTGTTTCATTCGGTTAAAACGTTTTTCATATTTATTACATTTATGTTCGATAAATTGTAATTTTCGTTCGAGTTGTTGTTTGTGTTTTAGTTGTTCATCACAATATCTTAAACGCTGTTCATACTCGCGTAGTCTCATTTCATAATGATGTTGATTTAACACCACCTCATTTTTTGATGTTCTTTGATCATTTAACAATTTTATTTCTGTTTCATATTTTTTCAATAATTCATTTTGAGCGGTTAACAGACGATTTAATCTCAATTGATCATCAGATACAAGTTTTGGTTGTGAGCAGCCGCAAGTCGACGCGATGGTTTGAGGAGACGGCCATGGTGCACTGGTTTGACAAGAAATATTACGTTGAATTAAACGTTTATTAATACTATCAATTTCATCATGGTGATGTTGTTCATTCAATGATTGTTGAAGTTGCGAATTTCGTTGTTTTAAATTGTTTATTTTCTCTTTTAAATGTTCATTTTCTGCAGTTAAAAATGCACACATGTGAATTGGCGGCATAGATGGAAAATCCATATTTCGTATAATTTACATTCATGTCGTAGTCTATAAATAACAAAAAGTATTTCTGCTTAAAAACCCTATTCGAAGGTCATTACTTGATTATCATAGAGGATAACGTGAAAATGGTATTAACCATCTTATTAAATGTGAAGAGAGATGGAAAATAACTCGAATGTTTACACAAATAGATGAGTGAATTAATACACTTCAATTTTTTACTGTCTGAACAAAAAAAAACAATTTTTTCTATCCTTTAGTGTCCTGATGCACTTTTAGGGGATACACTCGAAAAGCTTTTTTCTACATCTTCTATCCGATTTGAACAAAACAGTTACATATTGACGAGTACGATGTGAATATATTACAATAAAAATTTCAGCCCGAAAAGCTGAATCGTTCAAGAGTTATAGTGAACACAATAGTCAAAATAGGGATCTTCATGAAGTATAATTTTCTCATATCGTTATTTTGGGTTTGTTTTTAAACTAGGCTAGACATCAGAGCTGCAGAATCTGTCTGTTTGCTCCGACGGTCATCGGGGGAAAACTTCTTTACTTAGGGAAATTTTTTGAAAAATTGGAACATCTTTTTGCAATATATTTGCAAAAAGAACTTCTGTTCGTGGATTGTGTCGGAGAAGTTTTTGGAAAAACTTTTTCTGTCGAGGGAAATTTTCCAATTTCACGAGTAGATTCTGTACCTCTGCTAGACACTTAGATTTACAAATTGACTTAGGCAATTGTTGTCATTCCTCTCCATTACTTTTTAGCATGTAATTTAAGTTGAACAGAGACAAAAGTCAGTTATTGCCGCTCAAGGATAAATAGTCTTGTCCGAAACAGAAGCGAATTTGAAAATCAGCTACGTCAGTTTCAAGATTTGACTAAAAAAGACATCCAAAATCTCATTATTCTGCTTTACTACTGAACGTGAAAAAAATGTAGCGCACTAAATAGTACCGCTAAAATCGCTACCAAGAAAAGACGGCATGCATTCTAGGGGTTGTTGAAAGATACTAATAATTTTACAAGGTATAGTCGCACGGTGAAGATGAACTAAAGTAAAATCTTTTATATTAGGTCAAGTCACAGACACGATGTATTTGGATGAGAAGAGTTTACTACTAACCTACACATTTAAATAAAGAATTAATAAATAAGAAGAGCGAGGACAAGAGTAGTCTTTAGAAACCTGTTTCTTGGGATTGTTAAAACATTTTTGCAGAAAACCTTCAAATATAAAAAAGTAACTTTTGGAATAGGAGGCTATGTGCAGCACAAGACTATCTATTCTGGCTTACTAATCTTGTTGTGCACTTCAATAGACTTTTTATTTTCCATTTCATCATAGTTCTCTTAAAGAGACCGAATTCTCGACAATGTCTGTTTCGGCTCATCGATCACTGAATCCCAGTACCTTGGGGACACTTAAAAACCTTCCCAAAGTCTGCAAAACAGTGGTAGACTACCGATTGCTCAATGAAAACGGTCCACTTCTTAAGTGAAAAAGGTCTCTTTATATTTCTTCACAAACGCAAAATACAAAGGTGATTGACTTTGGATCATTTTCGTGATCAAAAAATTCTTTCTTCTGTTACATCATATCTATAACTCTGTCCACGTGCAGCCAATGTTTTCTCCCGATAGAAACATAGATCTATAGCTATCAAAACAATCGTTACTCTCGCTATTTTCATTGTCTTTTCTCTTTTTTACTGTCAGTATAGTGTGTTGACTATATTCAGTGCTAAAAATTGACCGACAAAGTCCACTTAAGTTTGTGTGTAAAACTCTTTGCAATACACACGTTTCCATATTCGAGTTTTGAGGGACCTACTTCAGAATAGATGTAGCACAAGGCTTATCTGAGAGAAAATAAAACATTGAAATCAAAGAAACTGACCGATGAGAAGAGTCCTGCATGTGTAGGAGAATCTCTTGTACAAGTACAATTATTTAATTTGATTATTAAATGTGAATTAGATAAGCTGATAATGAAATATCCTGATTTATTATTCTATCATAGAATAAAGCTCACACGAAACACCAGGAAGTAAAAACAAAAATACACAAGATCTTCATCTGTCTCTAAGTAATGAAATAATTTTGCCAATAAAACAAAATTTTCCCGCGTAAAAAATGAACCTGAGGTTTGACTTTCAAATTTCAAAGAAATATAATTGCAATACCATTATAAAAAATGGGACCTAAACCTGTCATACTTTAAAAACACCCCTTCCGTACGCGTAGGCTCATAATTCATGGTACTGAGGTGCAGAATTTTACCATAAGTTTGAAAATTTTCCACGAACGGTGAAAGTTTTGAAAAAATTCAAAATGGTACATGGTTTGATTCACTAATAGGCAAACACTGGAATTGGAATACTAATTTTCTAGTGCAACAGCTAATACCGTATAGATTCTGTTAAATTATTAAAGGTTCAAAGTAGGCAACGTTTTTATTTACAACGTAACATTCTCAAACAAACAATATTTTAAAATGAATTAAGACTATAAAAGAGAAGCAGATTGAATAGATGTATCCTGTGCAATTACTTTTTTTTCTGGTCTTAAACTCATTTTAAAATATTCCTTTAAACTATTTATCTGAGAATGCTACTTTCGTTATGCATGAAAACGTCGTAAAGTTTTAATTTTCTAATATTTTAACAAAATCTTTATCTTATTAACTATGTATAAACTTACACTATTCTTATGCAGACCCTACAAAAAAATTTTTTATCGGCACTTGTACGGCACTGGCGCACATCAGTGCGGAATGATAATTTTTTTGGCACAGGTGTGCACTAGTGCGAAACTTGAAAATTTCTCTGGCACTGGTGTGCACAAGTGCTGTACAAATGCCGACTGGTACTCGTACGGCACGGGTGCGCACCAGTGGCAGCCGGTGCCGGTGACTGATGGCGTGCCATGCGCACCGATGCGTACTGGCAGTGCCGCACTAGAATTTTTTTTGTAGAGTGTTTATTGATCGAGTCTACAATCAGTCTCTGACTTAATTTTATCTGTAATAAAAGGTTCAACATTGAAAAAACAAGATTGACTCGATTGTGTCAATTAGTTATCTCTATTACTTTTAATTATATTTGAAAAGAAAGATGTATCGTCGATTTCTATTTAACAAATAACAATTCTAATACATATAAACAAACAATATATATAACTACTAATTTTTAACATAAAAACAGAGAGAATCTGTACATAGATATAAGAGACTACATAGAAAATTTTTTTTTATGATGTCTATGAAAACAAACTGACAAGAAACCGCATACACAAACATATTTCTACGAAATTAAAAAACAAATAGACCTGAATTTTTTTCACTCATAATTTTTTCTACAACAAAAATATATGTATATCACTCTATTTGAATAAAAAAACAGCAAATAGGTAATAAGACGAGAAAAAAAATTAGCTTGGGAAGGGAAGAAATACTGACATCAAAATTTACTTGTCACTGTCAGAAGGTTAAAATACATCTTATCAAAAATAAAATGGATGTATGAGCAGCTGTAAAAAAATGAAAGAAATTAATGTAATTAAATTATCATGGACTTTATTTAATTTGGTGCGGTATATTTAGTTTTGAATATTTTTTCTAAACGATTTGTCTGCTGTTGTTGAGTTTCTAATGGTGATGCTCCACGTAATATTTCTGTCGAAGATTTTTTACGTAAACGTTGAATTGTTTTCATTACAGTTGATGATGATTCATTACCATTGTCTTTAGTATTTGCATCATTCTGAAAAAAAAGTAAATATTGTTATAATAAATGGCAGAAATCAAGGATTTTTTTTATACGTACAGTGACTAATGCTTGAGAAACTTGTTTCATTGAAACTTCCATTTCGTGATTAGATGGAAAAAAATTTGGTAACGGACGATCAAGAAATGACAAATGTGGACTTCTACTTGTCTAAAATTATATATAATGTTAGATTATAAAATTTTCACGCATCGCCCGTCTCTTACCATAGTACTAACTGGCTTCGAATAATCTTCGTTCACTTTTTGTTGTTGTTGTTTCTGCATCTTTCTTAATTTATTTTGTTGTTCTTTTTGTTCTTTAATCCAATTTGCATCGATACAACTCGTATCAGAATTCAACGATTCATGAGATTTCTCTTCATATTTTTGTGCTACTGGCGCAGGCGGCGATGAAGAGGATCTTGATGATGTAGATCGTTGACTTGCAAGTTTTGGAATAATTTCTTCATATTCTCCTTCACCAGTTTGTGACTGAGCAACACTAACTGTAGACGATGATCTCGACAAAGGTGATGGTGATGATGTTCGATGCGTTGTATTATTTGTAGTGATTTGATCATGAGTTGAAAATATAGTTCGCCGAGTAGTGGTGACTGTTGGAGATGAAATAGTAATATTATCCTTCATAGCTGAGAAATTCTGAAGATTCTGTGATGGTGAAGTATCAGTCACTCTTGCCCGTGTACGAATATGATCTGATTCATATGGTGAAAAATCATCTTCAACAAAAGAGCAACCAACTTTTATTATTAATGATTTACAGCTCTATTACTCACCGTTTAATCGCTGAGCATTCATTTGATTCCAGTCAAAGTTAAATGCTGACAAATCGTTTAATGGTCGAATGCTCACAACATCATCGTCTTTTTCATCGCCACCACCACCAGTACCGTCGTTATCATATATCTTATTTTGCTTTGGTGGTGATAACGTAATGATAGAACGAGAGGCCTGCTGTTCGATGTGTGTTGGAGCGGTTTTAATACGATTAGGAGGAACGCCAATGGGCCAATATGTCTGATTATTTGGATCATCATCATTTTCATTATCCGTCCATGATGTTTGATTTAATCGACCATTATGACTCATTGCTGTCGGACTATCGTTTTGCTCGAATGAACTATCAGAACTATAAACAAAACAACATTTTCGTAATTTTTTAAATGATAAAGGTCGAATATTAGACTACCTGACATGTCCATCATTTTCTATAGTATTTGTTTGTACTGTCGTTCTTGTTAACTGATGACGTGCAACTGGTGACTGACGATGGTCCGTTGTTGATTGTACAACAAGCTTTTCATTATCGTGTTCTGCTGTATGAAATTCATTTGTCGTATTAAAATTTGTTCTTAATGTTGTTTCTGTTGGATGCTCGATAATTTTATTGTAGTTATTGTTCCTGTTAAGATTTGATCGTTGTTCATTTACATCAGCTGTTGTAAAAAAATCTTTTGATGTTTCTAGTAGATGATTCGCTTTTGACATGAGTTCTTGAGCTAAACGCACTTGATCATTATGAAGTGTCAAAACATCGGTCACATTGAGACCATCACTTATCAGTGGTTTGCCACTTAATGATTCAGGAAAATGTTCCGATATATCGACATCAAGCGGTGACTTTGTACGAGATAAAGGCAATTGTTGGTGTTGTGATTCAATTATGGGTAAAGCAGAATGGGAACGATATTGTAAATTTAAATCACATTGTCTTCCGATCCCTGAATTTTGTTCAAATGGTGGTGGAACACTACTTCGATCTGTTTCAGATGTTACATCCGATCGAGTATTATAGCGTGCTTTCAAACGCTCAGTAATTACATCTAATTCTCCTAATTGACGACTAAAAGAAAAAAAATAAACAAAATATTACCATTTAATGGAGTAAAGTGGAGAGAATTTACCGTAAATTATTCATAAGAAAAGATTGTTTATTTGATTCGTCATCATTACTATGAATCATCGAAGAATTTGACGAACCTATACAACCAGATCGTGCGGAAAGATCAGACATAAAATTAAGCGCAGTTGTTGTTGTCGTTGATGTTGCTGTCGATCGGCATGAATCCATTTTTTCTTGCTTATGAGAAGAATTATAGTTCGAATATTTATAACGTTTTAATTCAAGTAAATCTTCTTGTGGTATAACACTTATTTTCAATTGACCTTGCACATTTCCAATCATATCGATAATATTATACCAACCACTAATATGCTGCATACCAGATAATAATGGACTCAAATCAATTGAAACAAAACCAAGTACTTTATCACCAGATTTTTCTAGAAAAAAGTAAAATTATCATGACAATGAATGCCTAATGAAAATGTTTTAATATCTATCTACCTGGTATAGATTCGATATCAGCATTAATTTTATGCCAAACTTTTAATATAAAATTTTTCTTTTCATTGAATAAATGTTCAATTGATAGTTTAACTAAAATAAAATAGAGTAGCAATAATAAATTTAATGGCATTCTTTTAATTTAGAGTTAATTTCACCTTGATGTTGATAATTCCAGATTGGCTTACAAGTTTTATTTAATACATTGGTTTTACATAAATGCGCTGAATTTGCTGTACTATATGTGACATACGGATTTGGTGGAACATGCTCATTTCTGAAAAAAATGACAATAGTTTGATTTTAACCATGATAATGATAGTGCATTTCAAAAATCATTGGCATACTCTGTTTTTGAATAAACATTTGGTAAATGTGCTGCTTGTTCTATATTAACAATAACAGAAAAGATATTATTTGTTATTGTACGCAATGCTTTATTCATTGGCAATTGATCACTATCTGGTAAAATTAGGTTTAAATGTCGATTTTCCAAATAAGAATCAATTTCGGCATCATTTGATGAATCCACACCACGACTCTTAATATTAAAGAAAGAAATGAAGATATGTACATCTAACATCGTATAGAATTTTCTTACTCGTAGTTCATTAAAATCTTTTGATTTATCTATTGTTATATGTGTTTGTACGAAGGCACCTGCTAAATCTTTTGTTCCATGTTTAAACATTGGTAATATAGCACTTAATCGATGTGTTTTACGTTTACGATCACACAGACTGTTTAAATCAATATAAATGGAACCAATTAACTTATCTGTCGATGATTGTTCTTGTTCATAATAATCACTTTCACTAGTCCATATCTGAATTTCAAATTTTTCTTCACGTAAATACCATATAAAAGGTGAACTACACAAAAATAAATGTTCTTTAGTAAATTTTAATTCACAACTAACATTTTGTTTATCAATAATGATATTTTTTCGTTTAGTAATGATAGGCACTACAATAAGAGACGAATTGAAACAACAAACATTCTTTGAATAGAGATAATATACTTTTATCGTAAAGTCGATATTGAACAAATACACTTGTTTTCTCATCAATTCGATCTTTTCCTGGACGAGTGGCCAAATAAACTGGAAATTGAATACGATCAATAGACACCGTTACGAGACATCCCAGATCTTTTTGATCTAAAAATACATAAAAAGTCGTTCTTGAAATACTGATATTTTTTTCATTTTCTCCCTCTTTCTCTTTCTCGTTTACCATCAAGAAAATGTTCTTCGTCCGTATAATTATCAGCTAACCATCCAACGGTTTTAGCAAAATCAATCACACGACGTCGATCATCCTGTTGAGCAAATCTAACGAATAATTCTAAGCCACCCACACAGTTTTGAGCCGAATCGATCGATGACATTGCAGTTGATGTTTGATCATTCGATGTACGGCTTGGATTTGATAATGGATACCAACCTTTTACACCTAAAACCCCAATAAAAAATATTAGATTAACATCCGATAATTGACATAAAAATTCCACATTTCTATCTATCAAGCTTTTACTATCAGAAATCGATCGATAAATGTTTTTCTAATATAATACCTGTATTTCTTGCTAATAGTTCTCGTAACGGTATTGTACAATAACATAAGTGTACATCTTTTGATTGTGTTACGTTTTTTTGCTGTGAAACTAATCCACCAGTTCTCATCATGATAGTTGACAGCGGAAGATTTCCTGTAGATGTTGTCGGCGAGTGAGATGTTAAACTTTCATTCTCATTGGATGTTATTTGATGATACATATCAATTCTTAATTCACCATGTTCTAGCATTTCAGCTAATGAAATTGAATCACTTCCCTTATCACTCCTTAAAACAAAAATTTAATACAAAACAGTGTCATTTACACCGAATATAGACTTACCATAATAATGGTAGCGGAAAATCACCTGAGTGATTAAATTCTGGTACAAATGATCGGGCTACTGTACGAGTTACACGTGATTCCTACAATGAGAGAAAACAAGTTTAGAAAAGTATCGTGTTTAGATGTTTAAATACCAACCATATCAGACAGAAATGACAATGATAATTTCACATATGCATTTACGCCAACTTGAGACGGATAACTTAAACATGAATTATGAACTGCTTGTAATTTTGCTGCATGCTAAAACGAAGAAAACTATGAAAAATCAATCTACCAAAATAACTACAACTTACTTTTAGTCCACAAGCACGTATTATACCCACAGAAAGGCACACTTGAGAGCCATTGATTCTATCGACGATAGCTTGTTGAAGCTGACGTTCATCTCTCTAAATATAAGACAAACAAATGATATATTCGTTTAACTGTGCATTATTGTTGAAATAATACTTTTATAATATTTCGTCTGTATGTTACAGTCACAAGTAAATCTCCGCCATATGATGCTGATGCTGATGATATGTAATGTTGTTCATTATGAGATTCATCACGAACTATTTCCAACGGTATTCGAAAAGACTGAATTGCTTTATCCTCTGTATTTATCAACATTGTTGTCATACTACATAGTTTTGATGCGGGTAATTTGCCCTAGAATCACATTTTTATTAAACAGCTAATCATTTGAAATTTGCTCATCTCACCTTTGCTAACAATTGATCACGTATATTCGGATAATAAAATCTTGTCCATACCTCGAAAGATATAGAAGCTTCAACATGTGAGACAGATTGACAGGCTTAAATAAAGAAAACTGTCAGAATATTGGTCAAAATTAAAATGATTAGTGTGTTTACCAGCAAAAAACGATTTATGTAGCGCTTCTGTTGGGGATAAAATATATCGAAATTTTCCACAATCATGAAATGTCGGATCACTTGTACACAATGTGGCTGCTGTACGATTTACGCGCATTTCAAACGTTAATTTATTTTTATTTATCGTTGTACCATTGATAATGTTTGTATTTGTTGATTGTTGTTGTTGTTGTTTATCAATTTGTGCAGGAAAATGATATTGTATAAAACAATCACTTTCACCCCATACCATTGATTCAAATGCTCGCAAACCATTTATACCTTCAATCATTATTTCAAATTGATGTTCCATCAACTGACTATTTAAATCGATCATATCAAATGGGCCTGAATGATCGGAACGATGACCAGTATTATTAGAATTAGACGGAATTATTCTGTTATTCAGATTTTTGGTTTGAATATTATCTCCACGAACTATTTGTAAAGCGGTTATCTAAAGAGAGAAGTCTAATAAACTATTGTTAAATAGAAAGAGAAATAGTTTTTACCTGTTCAGTTGTACCCATAGCCAATAATACTTGTAATTCACCCTTTGATTTACCCGTGAATGGATCAATGATCGGTAACCATGAATCAACTCCAAGTATTGGATATTGTGCACTTAATAACACTTGACTAATACGTTTATCTTTAAATGATAGATAAAACTGATGTAATGATACTTTAAGAATACCAATCAATGTATCAGCGGGCGATGATATTTTTTTATCCCATACTTCAATGACTAAAAAATTTTGATGCATCTTTTCTAATGTTGATGTTGATAATAAAAGTGGTGTACGCTTGAAAGAAAAAACATAAGAAAGTAGAGTATACAAGTGAATAGACACACGCACACACATACACAACTCTTACTTGTTCAAAATTGAAACGTGGTGTTGAAGTTCCCCAACACACAATTGATGTTAATGGTCCATCATTCCAGAACATTCGTGAAATAAAATACGGATTACATGGTAAATTTTTAGATGGTCCTAAAAGATAGTAACAAGTAATTCGATAACTTTTAATCATCATTTCAGATTCGTTTAGTTTTACCATTCGTTGGTTGTGTTATATTTCTTGCTTCGAGTACTGATAATAGAATTTGTACAACAGTTGCTTCACCATTCATTGCCATTGATCCATCGAACTCATTCAGTCGACTATTGTTAATAAAACCTCCACTTTCAAATGTTTTTGGTAATATGTAATCATTGTTTGTTGACTTAATCAATTTCTTTTTTGATGATTTTTTTGTTAATGATTTTCGTTTTGGTGATGTTGGTGAACAAATAGATAATAATTTTTTATTTGGATTTAATTTTTCTTGCAAACGTGTACGATCTAATTCATATTTAAAATCTTTTGAATCAGAATTTAATTCTAACATTAATTTTAAATTTCCAATTAAAAATTTTTTTGCAATTTTATTTGGTAATTTATTATTTATATTTAATTGTGTACGATCAATAACATTTAAATCTTCTTCAATATGTAAATATTCAGCTTTTAAAACATTTCGTAATGGTAATACGCAAAAACCAATTTGAACGGGACTATTCATACCTGGTAAACGACTATATATTTTAAATATTAACAATGAACGCCACCAATTTTTTAATGTTTCATCATTTAATAATACAGGATATGATGAAAAATGATTAAATATAATATCATTATTTGATTCAAAACGTTTTGAAGCAATTTTCATTACTTCGGTTGCCCCATGTACATGTCCATCACGACTATTAGCAATAACAGGAAATTGATATTCAACAAAATAGGTTCTGAAAAATAAAGATAAGAATAATCTATTGTGTCTTCTTTGTAAAATTCAAAATCTTATAACTATAATAGTTACATTTTATTTTTTCAATATCCAGAAATATAATTAAATTAATCTAAACACAACTACTCGTATAGTTTATTACGTACGTTGCTTTTTTTGGTGATTTTGTTGTTCGTCCAAATGAAGCATGTGTTGGCGACTCACGTCCACTATTTCGAGATGCGATTGATAATGCATTTAAACTTAAACGATCAATTTTAACACGAGCCGTATGTACATGTCCAAGAAGTCTGATACGTTCGGCACTTAGCCCGTCTCCACTTTGGCTTTCTAGAAAGGTACAATGAATTGCTAATATTTTAAATGGTAAAATAATGTTTTTCTTACCATTTCCACTTGATTCAACATCTGAATTTGGCATATCAAATGATACTCTCGATGCTGAATCACTATCTGTACTTCTTGCTAAACTTCTACTTCGACTACGACTCGGACTACGACTATTTAAAGCTCGACTAATTCGACCACCATTTGGATTTGGACTTTGTAATCGTCTACCTGTCGGTGGTCGACCATTTATTATTTCTGTGTCTGACTTTGATGAATGTCTTCGTTGATGTTGTTGTTGATCATTATTAAACGACATTGACATTAAATTTGAATCACCTTTTCCATTTGTACCGTATAATAAGTCATCTAATAAACTTTGTTCATATTCTAAACCGTCTAAATCCGATAATATTGATTCTTCTGATTCATTTGTATTTTTGATACCTAATAAATCATAAGCAGTTGTTTGATTATTATCCGATGATAGAGATACAGCTAATGATTTTGCATCTAACAATGCGTTATTATTTAAACCCATTCCGTTTTTTTCAACAGGTATATCAATTATACTTGTATTTAGATTAACATCTTTATCTTTATTCAATGATGATTTTATCATGTCTTCACGTAATCGTTGTGCACGTTCGATTAATGCTTCGACCACTGTACCAGTGGGTAAGTTTTTATGTTTTGAATATTGTTGCGATTTTTGTTGATTATCTTTAACATAGGCACGAAATGGTACAATTTCTGCTCCATCAGTCTTATTATGACTGGAATTCGATCGATGAGCAGGTATTGGGTTAGATAAAGAATTTAAATATTCAGCGCTAGATGCACGATCTAATGTATATGTTCGCATACCATTTTCAATTGTATCAGCCTAAAATTGATTAGGAGAACAAAGGTTTACTTGATTTATTCAGAGTATAATCAAAACTTTTTCTTTGAGGAATATTTTGAAGTATCGAGTAGACTCCTAATCTAAAATGTTTCTCATTCTAATTCGAAAAAGCACTGTTATCTTAGCTTTTGACTTCTAACTAATTTTACTAAATTATAAAACAGTTAAAAAACAAGCATGTAGCACGACACGTTTAAAAATTTTCGATCGGCTCTCATATTCCGGAGAGCGTTGTACACCAGAATCATATAGTAGATAAATGCCAGGATTTACTTCGAGTTGAGAATAGCTGAATCCCACGTGTCCAACATCAGAGAACCAATAACAGTGCCATGACATACCTGATAATTTTCGTTTCCTCCTTCAGAACTTCGCCTGGATACTGGATTACTAATGTCAGAACCACTCCAAGCCAAATAATCATTACTATCATTAGCTAATGGAAGCATATATACAATAGCTAAAACTAATTTTCTATGACAAGATATTCCGCATACGTACTTCCAGGCAGTAATATTCTGATGGAAACAAATAAATCCCCTAATTTTTCTCCTTTGTTTGTAAAAATAGGTGAATAACTGAACAAAGAAGTAGATAGATTAATACATTAAAATCTCAAAAAGAAAAATTTACCCTTTTATTGGATTATTGATATTCAATGTTGATAAATTTTGCACCTTAACAATTCCAAGTAAACGATTTGTATCAGTATCAAAAACCTTTAGTACAAGTTCCGTAGCGTCTAGATGTAAAATAAGAAGGCAAATTGAAATAAAATATGTAAAGGACACCAGAGCCGTCAGTAGGGTCTCAACATTAGGTGGATGTAAGAAAAAATTCTCGTAGAGATACTATGAAATTCAAAAAAACAACGCACGCAGCAGAGTTAGTAAGAAATATTAAAAGGAGTTCAAAGAAACGCTACCTACTGTTTTATTCACGATACTATCACATCGGAAATAAGAAAATGACGAGAGGACTTCGGAGGTGTCGCCTTATTTCACTCTTTTTCTTTATTTTTAGTATGAAAAACTTTTTTTTCTCGGTCTAAGCGGTCAAAAAACGAAACTATTTCGGTTATTGGAGAAGCGGGGGGAGAAAAATATTCACCTTCCCACATACACTCGGAGTTGACGGCCCCGATGGGCACTCATAAAATATATACCTGTTAAATATTTCGAAAACTGTTTCATTTCACTTCGAACATAATATTTGGCTGTTGTACATGGTTTTTGTCTATAATCTGGTAAGGCACCCGATATTTGCGGTCTAAACTAAGTTAAAATTTTTTTTGAGAAGATCATAGCATAATTACCTTTTTCTACCTGAATACGGATGAACTGTCGTCCTCACCCCACCAAGCTATTTTCACATAAGCAAATTTACAAGGAGGTTGCTTTGAATACCATCGCAATTTTGGTATATGCAAAATTAATATTGAGTGTACGGGACCTTTAAAAGCAAAAAGATTGATAAACCCTTGTCGAACGTTCTTTCGATGACACTAAAACTTACCTTCGACTTGTGGTGGCAAACTTGTTTTGACATAAACATCTTCTTGTATTCGCTGACGAGTTCGTTCTAAATTACTTACAACTGCCTTATACATAAAGCAAATGAAAAATTCCTTTCAAAAAATGTAATCCACTTTGTCACAGCAATTTGTTTATATAACAAATAATCACATACTTGACGCTTCAAGTCTCGTATGAAAATAAAAAAACTACTTTTTCAACCTCTCTTCCTGACAAAATATATAGCTGTTCAATGTTGTCTTCGTTCGGTATGAATAATCAAAAAATTGACTTACTTTTGGGTGTCGTTTTCTTAACGGAATTAGGGCCGACAGTTTTTGAACTCATAACAGAACGATGTTAATAATTCTGAAACAGAAAAATAGGTACACAAAGAAAAAAAGAACAATAGAACTTTAGTCAGTTCTAGGAACAAGACATGATTGTAAGAAGAACAATTACTCTGACTGTCATGAAATTAAAGTTACAATTAGGAAAGAGTGGCACAGTGCGTTGCTATTTATGATAAGTCTTTTTATAAAATTCATCACAGTGCGTCTTTCTGTGAAATTGAACTTGGCCATCACTTTGCTTCCGCTTGACCTACACATCACGAGAGGCATCGACATGTGTTGGCGGCAAAGCTACGTTTATAAAGATCTCTGATATACAGGTGATGGAGAAACAAAAAGTGCATTTTGCAAGTACAACCTGCAAATTGAAATTTCAGAGGGTCTTCCAGGCCATAGTCTTAACACGTGTGAATTATGAGAAACACTGATGCAAAATAGAGTACATTCAGAAGAAAGCAGAGCAGTGAGGAAAGGAACGAGCGGTCCAAGTACCTTTAAACAGAAGCTTTCCTTTTTCCTAGCAAAGTGTTCTTGAGAAGCGATGAGTCATCTAAACCGCACGTATATTAAAAAATTCCGGCTCGACGCCTGGATCAGAGGAACAACTTGCGTATATATATACGATACTTTTGAGTATGTCTGCAAACAAGAATCATACCCAAAACGTCATGTTAGTTCAGAAGACTCAAATTTGCCCATTAATATCTATCTAATGTGATTTCACTTCCAAAGAAAAATTACCATTAAGCTAAGGGCTTTTTTTAAGTCCGTTACTAAGAGCAGCCTCTTCTTTATGCAATAGCGATATTTGCAGACACTAAAAATCAAGTACGATTAACAATTATTGCTGTGCCTTACTAGTCACTTTTAATCTGCGGCTTGAACAGTTTTCACATAATAAATAATCATTATATTAAATCGTTAATGCACTTGTTCAGTGTTCTTTTTCGACCAATATCATTCTAAGACTCTTCATAAATAGGTAGGTCACAAAGTATAGGAGAAGACCTACACCCATCCCATCGTTCTTACAACAAGCACGACTACCTGTCCTTCATATTTAATTACTTCATTTCTGTTATGAATATTATAAAATGAAAGATTTCTTCACATTCTTTTTTCTGGCTTTTTCCCATCTTACATTCAATGTTTCTAATGACAAAGTGTACACAGCAGAGCAAAATATATATACAACTTGTTGTCGTTAAATACACTTTGTAAAAAAAAACAATGTATACAATGTACACTTTGTTTTTTTCAGCGAACTAGTGATGAATCATTTTCAACTTGAGTAATACGTCTTGATATAGATAGATATAAATAGTGAACTAGACATGGATGAAACCGCTGTATTTCGATCCTGATCCCGACTGTTTTTTACCTGCTAAATCCTCCGCACTTTCAATTAACTTTCTTCCCGTTAGGTTTGGAACGATACACTTTGCAAAAATAAAATAAAGTGCACATGTAGTTTTGAATTTGAAAAACAAACTGTGCGTATACATTCAGCAAAAAATTCTCATTAGAAACACTGTTACATTGTTCCGAGCCTATAGAATAAAACAAGCGTACTCTAGTATTTTGGACTCTTATTTTCTCAGACTAGTGAGATTATTACGAGAAAACTTTGAAGATTTATTAAGAATTTTACAAACCGCATAGTTTTTATGACTCACGCAAATGTAGAAAAGTACATTGACGTCACTATCTTTCCTCATTGCATGATTCATTCATATTTTCGACATTTGATAATTTCTTTTATACTGCATTCTCCCTTAAATTATACTCGAGTTCGATTACTGAATTCATTGCAGTCCCTAATTTTGTTTCAGTTATTTTTGTTAGAATGACAGATACAAACAATAATACGTCTAACGGTGATTTATCATCCCTCAGCGAAAATGAGGTATATTTGTTAACAACAGCTTGCTGTTAAATGAAGAATTTCTTATTTGTCTCTTTGTTCTAGGGTATGATGTACAAAGTGAAGAATGTCGTTACGAAATTTTTTCACCCATCATTTTTATTTTCCAGTGCAAGTGAGGTATTGTTAATTCTATAATTTCATTTTTGCTTGTCATTATAGTTAAATTTCATATTTAGAAAAGAAAACGGACACCATCGACGGAAGATGTACAAGATGATAAAAGAGAAGAGGAGAATCAGGATAAGAGACGGCCATATAGTGTTAGTGGTAACGATGAGACCGATAATCGACAAACATCAGCTAATCCAAAATCCAGTTTATCACGATCCAAAATTAGAACAACTACGAGCTTTCAGCCTAATAGTAAATTTACTCTCAAATATTGAGCAACACTGAGTGAAAATTTTTAACTGAAAATGTACTTCTTCGTTTCTTTCAGCAGTTCGTTTTGCAGATGAGCAATTACAACTGACAGATGACGAAGATTCAAACGATGGTAATCGATTGCATACAAAAGAATTAAAACAACTTTATCATCCACAAACAAAACGCCGTCGTATAATAACAAACGGAAATAGTAATTTATTATAAACTGACGACTTTTTCTTATTTTTTGACATTGAAAATAGTGGAGAAAAATAGTTATCTAAACTATTTTGGCACTAACCATACTTACTATGTCCTGTGATAAAATGTTCTCGTTTTTATTTTTAGTGTTAACATCAACAACATCAAATTCTTCAAAAATACCTGAAATTACTATTTCTCAAGCATCGTCCATCTTTCTTGATAATGGTAACAAAACCATGGTTTCAAAAGAAAGAAAATATCAAACGTTAACGACTGCAGCACTTACATCACAAAGACAAATCAACAGTCCGATTTATGATCATTCCACATTATTTTCGGCTGTCAATAATGTAAGTTCATAATATCAACTCTTTTGCACTATATGCTGACTACCGTGCATTTTTCCTTTTCATTGTTCTAGCATGCATTGTCACCAATAGGATCGCCAGTGAAAACGTCCACTTCAGATGTAAGCTGCAGTGATTTATTTGTTTATTTTAATAGTATAGAGTGAGATTGCATTTTTTAGACATACTTACGCTAACTACATCTTTATTGTAGAAACAAAGTCGCCTCATTTTGTCTACCATTTCTTTTTTATTTTTGGGCATGACCGAAATAGCCAACCTTATTAAAAAAATGAACTTTTTTTCTTTAAGTCATACGCCAGTCGAAACAATCAGACATTGGCATGCAATGCAGTTAGTCGTGGTTTCGACAATCATCTGGTAAGCAATATGAATACTTTATAGCAAATTGATTCTAAAACATTTCGTTCCATTATTTCAGTTGTCACCAAACGCAAAGTTGTTTAATACAAGTTACTCGTCTATCAATTCACGACGTCTGCCATATATTGAACGTCTTCGTCGTCGAGCTTTAGAAGACTGTGTACGATTAAACAGAACACTTCTCGATCCGTGAGTATTGTAATGCTAAGCTTGATGATTCAGATGAAGGATGGATATTTGTAGAATAGTAGGCAACACGGACAGTAGTATATCTGAGAAATAATGCTTATATATACAGTTTATTGTCAGATGATGGGAACTTAATTGCTTTTCCTTAGACCATTATCAACACCTATCGTCGATCAAGATTTACATATAACACCAAAAATTGAAAAAGAAGCTGGAGTACCACGTGGAGTACAAACTGAAGTAAATAGATTATTAATTAATTTGTTTTATTAGTTTTATTTTATTTATTTTTCATGTCTTTATTATAGAACTCAACTAGTGATTTCAATGGCACATCATCAAAACATCGAGCATTTCCACCGGTTTCTATAAGAAACGAGATTACATCAATACCAACAGGAAAAAACATTACCAGTCAAGCGCAAGTATCGCAGCCTCAATTCCCATCTTTATCAACTAATAGTACAATTACAATCGAACCCAAAATACAGTCCAACAATGCGAAGGTGTGTTAGTCAATTCTTTTTTTTGTTATAAGTGTCATTTTTTAAGTCCGATTCATCTTATATGTAGGTTATGGGCGATTTCACGCCATTCTCATGGCCAAAATTTATTCATGCACAAGAAGAATTCGCCAGACAAAATTCAAAATTATGTCAGAGTGAGATAGGTTTGTGAATACTATCAAATTAAGCAGGGACTGATACCCAAAAGACTTGCTGTGGATGATAAAATGGTAGCCATACTGCATAGAAGTACTCTAAAGGTTATCTCTTTTTGGATGCAAGAACGTTAACAAGTGCTCTACTAGCCCCACTATAATCCAAAATATGGCTCTTCTACTGAAAGTTTTCTTTTTGTTTTAGAACCCATTCAATTTGTTCAAAGTAAAACAACTGTTCACGAACCACAAACTCTACCTGATACAACTAAAAAGCTGCAGCCCAATGGATCAACAAAAGTACAATCATCAACATCAGTACCTACATCAGCCCGGATCTCTTCGTTTAAGATGCCTGTTCCTCATGAGGTAGGATGGAAATGTCCATCTTGTTCCATGGAACATTCAACGCAAACAGCGTCATGCTCATTTTGTCATGCTATCAATCCAAAATATAAACGGTTAAGTGGTATGTAAAACGTTTTATGATGATCATCAGTTGATATTTCGAAAAACCTTTCCTGTTCACTTTTAGTGAAGAGCAACGACAAGCCATCAGTATCTGTCTCATCATCTATGCTCCAAACTCAACCTGACACAATATCAGCTCAATTGGATACTAGACAGAGTGAAGCAAACATAGTACAAACATCCTCAGCCACATCTCAACCAATAGACTGTATGTATCACGCAATAAGTTGAAAATATTGAGAAAAATTGCTCATCCTCTTCGTTTTAGCCTCTCCGAAAACAGCTATCGAAACATCAAATACAGCACAAAGTCAATCAAATGCAGTTACCTCTTCACTCTCGACTACTTTTTCGGTTCCCATATCAGCGACGAAATTACCAAACAGCGTAACAAGTTCATCAACAGCATCTGTCTCAACAGGAACGTTTGCACAACCAATATCATCGGGTGTAACTCCACCAAGTTTGTCCGAAAAACTATTACAATTCGGTTCATCTTCAAATTTCAATTTCAACACCAATCCATCAATAAACCTACCTGTGACAACAACATCGCAGTTATTTCAACCAAGTATTATCAATTCGTCAGCTACAACTACAGTTCCATCAACATCAACTGGATTTCATATTAGTGGTGGTATAGCTCTACCCACAACAACACAGTCCGTTCCGCCAAATATATCTACCGCATCAACCACACAGTCTGGATCGATCAGCACATCGCTTACGCAAAGCACAAATAGTGTTCTCCCTGTCTCAACAACGATTGTTAGCAGTGTACCAAGTACTACTACAACACAAAATCCATCTGCGCAAATTACTACAGCAACAACAACAACAACATTTGGTCAGGGATTTAGCCTTAGTCCATTTAGTTCATTTCCATCGTCATTATCGAGCGGTTTTCCAGTCCAAACAGCAAAACCATCAACAACCAGCACAGTTGCAAATATATCTTCTACAACAACTCCTTTTCTCTTTGGTTCTTCAGCATCATCATTTGTGTCCCCTTTCAGCGGGTTTACTAATCCTTCTGCAAGTTTTCCAACAACAACTTCACAGGCAAATGTTTTAACAACAACAACGATACAGTCTCAACCATTTCAATCGATTGCTTCAACATCTCTTTCTCCACCAAACACCGTCGTTTCACTTTCTTCAACAACAATAGCTCAAACACCAGCATCGTCGACTAGTACTTTTAGTACGTTTGGTGGAATCGGTTCTGGTACTTTTTCGACTTTTTCGACAACCATACCATCAACAAAAACATCAACATCAGATATTCTATCAACTACAGCTACAACAGCAGCACCATTTCTGTTTGGGTCAACGGCAACATCACAATCCTCTGAGAAAGGTACGTGAAAACTTTTTGTTAAAAACAACTGTAAAAGAATGTTTGACTGCCATTGATATTCTATTATTAGTATAACTGATCTTATTTGTTTTTCAGAGTCATTTCCATTTGGATCATCACCATCATTGTTTGGATTTCCGGCAACTTCTTCGCAGACTACAACATTACAACCATTTCAACCGAATATTTCCAGTTCATCAACCACTACTACAACAGCTGCTCCAATACCTGGTTTTGCGTTTAACCCATCTACTAATAGCAACAGTAGCAATGGTACCCAGTCGTCACTAGCCACCTCAACAGCGTTTGGTATCCCCACTACATTAAATTTCAATTTCGGAGGAACTGCACCTAGTCAGCCAAATGGAAGCCCATTCCACTTTGGCGGTCAAGTACCATTTTCGACTTCGGTATCGGCGTCGGTAGTAAATCCGGGTGCTCAGGCATCTTCTGAAGGGTACGTAGTAAAAATCTTTTTTACTTCTTCACTGATTCTTCGGTATTTAAAATCTAAGAAAGGTAGATTGCTTTCAGTATCTATGGAAGTCTACAACATGTACTTTCTGTCAGGACTTCTATATTTACAAAAATCCATCTTCTCATTTAACAGTATGATTTCTGATAACGTTTTTCCTTTCGTTTTAGTCCAAATCCGTTTAGTGCCACGGGTAATGAGACACCAAAACGCACATTTGCTAAAGCCAAACGACGAAAACCAATATAACTGACCTTTTTGTCACGCCTTATTCATAATTATTTGTTTTCCTCTATTGCACCAAGGGGCTTCTCTTATATTATTATTAAAAAAAGATAAATAAGAATTCTTTTTCTTAAGATCATTTTTAATTTAATATATATTTCTGCATTAAATTTGTGGTTGTTAGAAGCATTATTAGTTAGTTAGTAAGTAACGTTATTAGTTACCATAATTAGTGAAATAGGCAGTAGAAGGTTGTTTTTTTGTTTACAGTACTGTTAGGCAAATTTCTTAACTCTCTAATATATATATTTTCTTTTGTTCAGTTAGCATTATTTTTGTATGAAAAAAAACCCCAATTGTTAATCGAAATTGTGCACTTTTTTCTGTCTATTTGCTCCATGTTTTTTGTGTGTGAATGTTTTCTGTTATTGTATTATTGTTCATTAGATAAGCTGATTAAACTTTCGGCCTGAGTCTTTTGCATTATGTTTTCTGTGCGAACTGTTCGATCGTATTTAGCAAATAAAAAGAAAGACGAAGTTTGTGTTGTCTTTTTTTATGTTTCGTTTTGTGTTTCTGTTTATATCAACACTTTAGTAAGTAGTATAAGATAGAAAAAAACAACTAACATATTCGTCGTTACTTATTTTGTATATCCGCCAATATAGAAAAGCGGCGGGTTTTTTTCTGTTTTTTTCGTACAAGTTTTAATTGAATCATCTCTGTTCTTGCACGCAAAATAAATCTGATAAGAAATGAGTAATGCTTTTTTTTTTCTTTTGTTTAACTAGTAACTATTTATTCAGAAAATTTTTGATATCAGCCTTTCACAAACTCGAAGTTTAATTTATATAAACTTAGTTTAAACTTGCTGACTTAGGATCTTTTGTGTGTTCTTAATCATTCAAGATAAAACTTACTGTTGTCTGCACTCTTTTTTTTAGATCATTCTACTTTTCTACTCCTTTACATTCGAAATCTATTATCAAAGAGAATGGTTAAAGTTCGTAAGAATAAACCAAAACCAGAAGGATGGGAATTAATTGAACCAACTTTAGATGAATTAGATGCAAAAATGCGAGAAGCAGAAATAGCACCACACGAAGGAAAACGCAAAGTGGAAACATTATGGCCAATATTCAAAATACATCATCAAAAATCACGTTTTCTGTTCGATTTATATTTTAAACGTAAAGCAATTAGCAAAGAATTATACGATTATTGTATCAAAGAATCAATTGCTGATAAATCTTTAATTGCACAATGGAAAAAACAAGGTTACGAAAATTTATGTTGCCTACGTTGTATACAACCACGTGATACAAATTTTGGTAAAAAGTGTGTTTGCCGTGTGCCAAAAGAAAAACTAGAAGAAGGAAAAGTTGTAGAATGTGTTCATTGTGGATGTCGTGGATGTTCAGGTTAGATGCTCAAAAAAACAACAACTTGTTATTGTAATTTTACTTTGTACATGTTACGATTTAAATGATTATGTGCTTTCATTTTGTGTCATTGTTCTACTGTTTTTTGTTTGTAAAATATGAGCTGTATAGTAAAATAAGGAAAAAACAATAGATATTCAACTCAGTTAACTTCTTAAGACAAGTAAAAAAAACAATCAATTTTAAAGGTAATATTATTACATATGAAGGTGGAACCGACGTTAAACGATAACGAACATCCTTTTCAAATCTCCTTTCACCTCAAGAAAGTCGATTTTGAAATTCACTCATGGTGTCCTAAAGTTCGTACTTTCAATTGCACCAATTGTTATGTTTCGAAAATACGTTTTTCGAGTTTTTAAGCAAGTTTTCTAAAAGCGTAGAACCACAGTTACATTAGCCCAAAACGTAGTAGTTTTATGAAAAAATCTCTACGCAAGAAAATACCTATACAGCATAGACATGCATGCATGAATACTGGATTGAACGTGATTGAAAACTTATAAAAATACATATATAAATTTTTCGACTTCTCAAGAAATATATTTTTTTCGAACAAAAGCAGCGCGCATTTCTCTTTATTGCCTGTTTTTAGAACTGTTTTCATTTACAAGATTTCTCTTCAATTTTAAACTCGACAAAGTTCGATTTGATCCTCAATTAAACAGAAAATTCGGTACTGTGACATACCAAAGCCGATTATTCGTGTGAGGTTGATAGGATTAATATTCGCTAAAAATTTCTTTAAGATTGGACACTTCTCTCAAGAATAGATTTCTGGAAGGAGGGCTTAAAGAAGTTGAATGAATGCCGAGTTTGTTTTAATATGAACAAAAAAGAAAACTATAATATCAAAAACCAAACATAAACAACAACATGTGCTACAACTATACTTTCTTTTATCAGCAAAGATAAACATTTAACCAAAAGCAAAATTTTCTACAAGAAATTGTATGTAAAATAGTTTCGGTGGACGAGAATGAATTTTGTAGATAAACCTTTTGTCAACGTCAATTAAGATTATTGGGGTTCATAACATAAACACATTAAAAACGTCTATGTTGTCTAAGTGAAATTTTCGAAGGTTATAAAACAAGGTTCAGAATTATTATTTTTATACACGTTAGTCTATTGTGGGTGATAGTCCTTGTAAAAAAAGCGTAATTCTACCACATTGCAAACTAACCCTATCATATTTGTTCAAAAGAAGAGTACTATTATTATCTGAGGAATTTATCCAAGTTCCAATCACACCTATTACCAATTTTATTTAAGTAACTCCAGTTTGTTCATGGATTATTTCATATCAAAGAGGATTCTTCTCAGATTTAAAATAGAATATTTTCAACACGATATGTTTTAGTAATGTGTTCCATTAGGTTAAAGGTTAACGTAGCATAAAAATTTAAGATTGAATATCATCTATTTGCACATAGAAATAGAAGAGGATGAAAGTATTCTTATGCTTATGTGCATTTGATTTAACGATAAACGTATCACCTGATTCACGACAAAAAATACGACGATTATGTACAATAACAGTTTTCTTTTCTGTATCAGACAGTACTGCACGTTCTTGTTTCAATAAATGTTAATAAAATAAAAATGAAATATCTTTGTTTATTCCAGTTCATTCTCTTCTTACTCGGCATGTTATTTTTGGTGGTCATGATGATGATGTTGGAAAGTCATTTGTGTAATCTAGTTGTAGTTTTTCAGAATAATTTGGAATCACCTATCGCTGAATTTATTAGAACGGTTAGTTAATTTACATGATGATGGCATAACAACTGTAATTGTCATAGAAAAAATAAACTATTACTCATAAAGCCCGTTATTTATCCCGCACTTTCTTCATGAGTTTTAGTGAAGGTGTAATGGCAGATTTGTCTTTAGATATCTGTATTTTTCTATCGAAGACTACTTCGTCACTTTCTCTAGGTTCGGTTCAGGCTGACTTTCGCCGGCATATCCGTTTCTAGTTGGATGTGGAACGACAGTGTTACAGATATCTAGCTTCTTAAACGTCAACCATTTTTCAAATCGTTGGAAACAACGACAGCGGTGGGGCTGTCGTAATCGAACACTGATATCTACAAATTAACGTGAGTGACTTTACAAAATCGCATGAGTTCCTGTCCGACATGTATTTCAAGTTCGAACGCCGAAAAAGTTCATTAAAAGTCGATTAAATTGAGTAACCAATTTCTCTGAAAAGACAGATAATTTCACAAATCGTTTGTGTGAATGTGTGTGCACCATTGTCTTGACTTTTAAAAAAATATATTACTATATAGTATACACCACACCCCAGCCCTATAGGCTGTACCGTTGCTGGAAAAATAGTACCTATCGAACAACAGTAGCATAGCGGCAGCATTACTATAGAATCAGCTGTTCATCGATCGGTGTATTTTACGGCTTGTTGGAGAATATTCATATTTTTTTTCCATTAGGTTGCATAGGGGTGGACCACATGTTATTCTGCAAGAAAATGTCAGCTCTACAAATCTAGATACATGGAAGAAGCAGTAGCGATTAGTGAATTGCGTTTCAACAATCATAGTTTTAAGGACTTCTGATAATGTTTCTTAAACTCTAACATAACGTTAGTTAGGATAGAAAAAATACAACTTCTGAAAATATATACACTTGAATTGGATCAATTGTTGTAACTATGTTAAAAATGAAATATTTATCAAATCTTATTTCATAGATCTTATCGTATCGTGTTGTTTTTTGAAAATGACTTTCTATCTAAATTACGTTCTTTTATAAAAAAAAGAAGTTGCCGTCATTCATGCGAAAGTTTACTTAAGATGCCATATAGATCTACTATTCACAGAAAAGAACTAAAATTATAAAAAAAAAAGATAATTCATTTCTAAGAAATAATTTATGCTTAAACGGCTAATATGTATAGGAGAGAAAAAAAGATCTCTATTCAGCTCTCACGATGATTGAAAATGAATTTTCACTAGAATTTATCTCTGCATGCTTCAAAGTTATTATTTTTTCCTTATTTGAATGGATGTGAAAAAACACCGTAGAAAACTTATGCTTTCTCGTCAATGTATTTTCTAGAGCAGAAGTAACATATCTGTCAAATATGGCACCGATACATTATTCAACGCCACGTCCAGTTGTTTTCTCTGGACCAAGCGGGTATTTAATTCTGCTTAGTAAAGGGATCATTTTACCAATGCTCGCTTATCTTCACGTGTATAACAGTCAGTTATCAAATTATTTCTTCTTTAGTTCTGGTAAGAGTACATTAATTACAAAACTATTCAAAGAATATCCAACAGCGTTTGCTTATAGCATTTCACGTACGTTATGCTATATTCATGTCTACTGTGTTTTTTTATGCATAAATATTCACCTTCTAGATACAACACGTTCTTCCAGACCTGGTGAACAAAATGGGATAGGTAGATACTTTAAATGTAAAAAAAATATTTTGTTGTATGAATGTTTATACTCATTTTAGAATATCATTTTGTAACAAGAAATGATATGGAAAGAATGTTAATAAATGATGAATTTTTAGAATCAACCGAATTTTCTGGTAATCTCTATGGAACAAGGTATAGATGCTTTAAAAAAAGAAATCTATTGATTCTTACTATTAACAATATACTGATCAAGTTTGCTTTCATTATTAGCAAAAAATCTGTTGAAGATGTGGCTAAAACAGGAAAAATATGTATACTGGATGTTGATAAACAAGGTGTTAAAAATATAAAGAAAACCGATCTAAATCCAACGTATATTTATATTAGTCCACCAAGTTATGAAGTTCTTGTGAGTAATATTGTGAACAAAATAAGCACTTAGATAGGTGTTGTTCATCATGTTTAGGAGAAAAGATTGCGCGGTCGTCAGACAGAAAATGAGAGTGCCATTGTGAAACGTTTACAAGAAGCAAAAGAAGCAATGGAATTTAGTAAAGAATCGGGCGTTTATCATCATATTGTTGTTAATGATAATCTTGACGTGGCTTATAATTTTCTAAAAGATCTTTTAATAAAAGTATGTTTATTACTTAATATTTTTCTTCTACATATTGAATTTACGTTTCACTTCTAGGAAATCGATGAAGTTGTCAAACATCAAAATGCTGCCCATTAAAGAGAATTATTATTTAATTTTATTAGAAATGTAGTTTGAAAAATCTAAATATTTTTTTATACAATGAACTGCCTTGACATACAATTTAAAAAAATCGCTCTTCTTTCGCTTTATGTCCTTGAGTCTTAATTTTATTTTTGTGTATGTAATCTCCTTCTGTATTTATTTATTTATTAATAGTCAAATTTTTTTTTTGTCTAATCAAAAATGAAGCTCTGAGAAAAACAATATGCAATCGTTTACGATATTAAGACTTTTCAAGATATTTTTTTTGTTAACTTTCCTCAAAGGAAGTAATTTAGTTATAAATTGAGTCTGCTATATATATTGAATGTTCGTATATGTATACTGTTGTATACATCACTACATGCTTACTGTATAAATACAAGAGATTTGTAAACATATATATTTTCAATACACAACTGAGCTATATCTGACAATTGTTGAGATCAAATTTTGCTCATCTCTTTCATCTATTCATAGTGTCTCTACTCTCCTTCGCTAAATTTACAGCAATCCATTATGTATTATGTCACATTTTGAATTTTGGTAGTTTGATTTATTCTATTAATTCTTATTTGAACCATATGCGGTTTTAATGTATTCGCATCAATTATTAAGGGAGAGGTGACTGATGCTAACATGAACAGCAGTTAGAATTTATGATGAAAGTTAGCGTGATGAGTGTATCATTCATTAACTCGTTTTGAAAAAAAATCAGAAAGTATTCTAGAAAACATCGTTAGTCTCGACTCTGTACCGATGTGGTACACATTTTTTAATCAACTTGATTATATTTTTGCTTAAATGGATATCCGATTGCTTTCGTGCACTTTTTGTTATATGGGTTGCGTGTCCTAAAAATGTATGACTATGGAAAGAAGAAATACACAGACGACGTGATTTTTATGTTAACAAACTATTGTGTGAGGAAATTCGAAAAACATGTACAGTTTGAAAAGAATTGTTACGATTTATGATCTTAACACACTCTCTGCCATATACTTTAGCCAAAATGCATTTCAGAATAATAATTTCCTTTTAGGACCATATATGCTAACTGAATATAACAAATCGGAACTCTTTTTTACAAGAAATCGAACAATTAGCGAAAAGTAATATAGTCAACAGATGCAAAATTGTTAATTTGAGTGAAAGAGGACAAATTATTTGAATATTAAAATCATTGATAAGATCATTCAAAAATAAGTTAGTTAAGCTTGTTTTAAGAAAGATATGTTTTAGATCTTGGAATACTTTCGAGCTCATGAACCGGTTTTGGTAGATGATATTCTCCATCTGATTTATCATACTATAATTTAGTATTTCACGAAATATTTAACTTTATATCACAAACATTTTGCCTTGCAGATGACGAGAGGCAATTAGTATCAACACGTTGTTCTGAGTCAAGTGGTGAGGATTAAAATTCGTCATGATTACCAATCGGATTCGTTTGATTTTTAATTGAAAATCGCACGCTGAATATTTCCTGTATTATGAACATTTCTATGTGGTTGATAAATAATTCTAGAACGATTAGGCACGCACTGTATCAACATTATGGCTTTTGATGAACGATAAGATATTGTCTATAATAATACTGTAACCAATATCTCGAGACATCCAGAATTAGAGCGTAATACTTAACAAAATGTGTGTGCTACTATAAAAGTTCATACGCTATGCTATATTTCTATTTACGTCGTCAATTACTAAATACAATGATAAGTACAAGTTCTCGAATCTAAATCATGCCATTGTTCACAATAAATGAAATGAGATTTGTTACGTGATTTTTGCCCTGATCATTTCTATACTTTTGACATAAAAAACTTGATTTCTTTTAATCCAGATCTGTTGCATAGATTAGTTCTCGCTTCGTCGACTCACTCTCACAAAGTCACTCTTACACCGCCCTTCCGCCTTTGATATTCTTTGAAGTCATATTCTCGTTTCGCCGACTTTTTTCGAAAAGTTGGTGAAACGAGAAGACGCCATTGCATATATCTCGTTACCATGATCAAAAGCATGTTATATTTGTGATCCTTTTTTCATTTTGTCCGAAGCAATTTTCTTAAAATAAATTTTGCTGTTATCTTTTCTAGTTTTATCTAATAATACAGTTATTCATTACTTTATAGCTAGGTTTTTTTATATAACTATTGTTACTGTTCAAAGTCTCGACATTTTATTTTCGTATAAAAATAAGGCGTTTGTACAAAAAAACCTTCTAAAGTAGAAAACTAAAAATCAGTATGTTATAAAACTTATCACACAGCTATTCTTTGTGACATTGTTGGCGATACGTTAAATGCCGAATAGCTATGCATATTTTTGTAATTTTGACGATTTATCTGTAAATTAACATTTTTACTTATTGTTGACTCGGAAGGCCGAGATTTAGGAAATTTATTTGGATAAAACGTTTTGCCTTGTTTGTTCACTTCATTTTTAACCTGAGAATAGATTGTACCAATAACAAATGGATCCTTTTCCGATCGAAGTGGAAATTTTGAAAAACAACCATCTTTATTACCACCCAGCTAAAAAATGATAGAAAAACAAATAATTCCTAATTACAGATTCTTAGAAGAAAAATTCATACGCTTTTTCCTGGAGAACTCGGTTTAAACGGTTTTGTGTCGGATGGAGCTGATTTCGATCGTTCTTTGTCTCCACCTCCTTTTACTTTTCCATCTTCAAGAAATGGATTTCTATCAAAATATTCTTTTGGGTGCATATTTAACTTAAAAACGCCAGCTTTTGTTGCTGTTTTATGACTTTCTGCTTCTTTCTACAATAAAAAAATATGGCTATTATGAACTGGACAATAGAGATAGGACAAGGTACAAATTATGACCCGAGATCTTTTTAGCTGTGAAGTATATAAAGTTTTGTGATGGATAACTAAATAAGTCTTTTAGTTCTTTACTCCCTTTAATCCTTCTAGTCAACTTATAAGGTCCAAGTTGCAATCAATCACACTGCAATTATTTAGAGACTAAAGAAGTAAAGTTAATAAAGAATCAAAAGGAGAAAAATCCTAATAGGTCTAAACGTATAGCAGGGATAAGAAAGTAAAATGAAAAGATAGACAGGATATATGTTCAGAAAAACGTGACGTATCGTATTGAACATTGGCTTTTAGAAATGTGAAATCGATAGCTTATTATGCAGGTTAGAAAGATCTCCAGACAAATTTTCAGTCCTCATGGACAAGATCAATAATGTCGTTCGTTCACCTTTTGAGCGTCAAGCGGTGCATCATAATTGTCTGTTTTATCTTTGTATGCGTACGGTGGATCTTTTTCAATTCCCAAATTCGGATAACTACGATATCAAATAAATGCAGTACTTATAAAAAACAGAAAGTAGAATGGTAAGTGTAATATACCCGTATCCTGTTCCCTTTTTGGATGGGTTTACTTTAAAATTGATTTTTTCTGATTCATATTTTGATTTTTCACGATATTTTGGTTTCGTAGGATCAATATCCCTGACTGGACCTTGAAATGTGCCAAAAAACGAGCCAAGGCCCTCGCTAGAAATCAGAATCACTTACACATGTTTGCTATCTTCAATATGGATACGAAGACGATACTCACGGACTTCTCGTTCTATACATTGAGACAAATGGTTTGTTAACGATATTTTTTTCTTTCTCTTTCAAACGCATCTTGCGTCTCATTGATATTGGATCAATATATGATCCGGGTAATATCTTAAATTCTTTATCAAAGTAGCCAGCTAACGAACCTGTCGAACGTTCTTTCGATCCTCTACTTAACATTTGTTTCTGTTTATATGCTGCTTCGTTAAAATTAACTAAAATTCAAAACTGTTTGTTTAAATAAATATAGTACCAATTTCTTTACTTACACCGAGCTGCTTCTTTGAATGGATCTTTAATCGTAACATATTCCATTTCTTTAAACAAACCAATACGATCCATATCGGGTTTCGTTGTACTCCCCATAGTGGCAAAGTTTTCAAGAAATTAAAGAGGTTTGACTTCCAAAAATAAAACGCACCAAAAAATATAGCTTTTGAATCGCTTGTCCAACACTGCAATGGCAGTAATCAACACAAACCAGTAAGTAATAACTCCGGTTTTAGTCCCAGGTCTGATATTATAATTCTGCAATAAACAATTTTTGTTGACCTCATAAAGGATGAAATAAAAACTTTTTAACTCCATTATCGTTGACGTCACTATAACAACACTACACAGAAAGAGAAAAAAACATTTTTAGCACATAACGACATTATCAATTCAGATTTGCTCTGTCATACATGCTACTTTTTAGATTAGCACAAACGGTAGCTCATTCTTCTCTGTCATTATTTTACGTCACGGGCACACAAGTAGAACATGAAATTCATCATTGTAAACCTAATAGTGCCCAGGCACAAAAAAATCGTTAGAAACGGCAAAAAAACGCGTTTTTTAAAAACACGTTACGAAACTCCCGTTTTCCATGGGACGCAACGCGTTTCATAATGTTTGTTTCATTTTCCGTTCTCACACGTTTTTCAAAAACAGTCTTTTGAACACCTTAGAAAGGCGTTACGTTTGCGTTAAAAACGTACAAAAAACGCATTTACAAACGTTCTAGAACGCGTTTCAGATGAAACATTTAACGCGTTTTTTGATCATTAAAAATGGAATAAAAACGCGTTTTGAGTCAGCTACTCCTGAATCGTTCCAGAAACGTGTTTCATAACGTTTGTTTCATTTTCCGTTCTCACGTGTTTTTAACGGTTGAAAAACGCAACAATCATTCACCGTCTTGTTTTGCGGTCAGCCGACTATATAAGCACAATCGAAATATCGAAGAGATATCATCGTCTTTTCGTTCTTTTTTAGTTTTAGATCATCAGTTTTGTACTTCATTTATTCCAAGTCTCATCTTTGGCTTAACAAAAATTCTGGAACGATTTAGGAGCTGCAGACTTGATTCCGAAACGCGTTTTTATTCCGTTTTTAACGATCGAAAAACGCGTTAAATGTTTCATCTGAAACGCATTCTAGAGCGTTTGAAAACGCTTTTTTTGTACGTTTTTAACGCGCAAAAGTAACGCGTTTCTAAGTTGTTCAAAAGACTGTTTAACGCGTTTTTCTTCGTTTCAAATGAAACATTTAACGCGTTTTTTGATCGTTAAAAACGGAAAAAAAACGCATTTTAGGGTCAATTTTTTTGTGCCTGGATATAGACATTAGCACGTGCTACGCTTACTTTTCAATAAAAATAATGACTATCACTTCTCATGTAAACATGTTTTAGTTGTAGACGCGTTTGCGTGGATCGAATTTGCACCATTTCTCTATGTTAAAGCGCGTCTTTTACAAAAAAACCGGTTAAAGCGCGCGTCTTTTCAGACGCATCGAAGTTACACGTGTTGGTGAGGATGTTGATTGGGACGTTGAGTGATTGAGTTTTGTACTCATGGATTCACGAAGTAAGTGCAAAAATTCTTCATAGAAACAGTTTCAAAGTAGTATTTTGTGTGATGAATTGGACCATTTTGTTTAGGCAAAATACTACTAATCATTACCGTTATATCTTAAACCATTTGAGGCAGGTCAACACATCTCATTAGTAATCAAACATACAGAGATGTTAAGGAGTTTCTTGCTCATAACTCAGAACACTATCATATCACCAATACACACTCATACCATATGCTGTTGAGTGCATATCTCATTCAGATTGGGAGTAATAATATAACACCCAAAGAAGAACACTAACCATAATAATATGGTATAAACGTGAAAAAATTAGATTATACAAAATTAAATTGGACTCCCGATTCAATACATTTAAAATTAAACAGTTGAAATAGTAAAATGCTGAGACTAAACTTTAGAAATTCTCACAAATATTATTGTTAGATAAATAAGTATTTAACCATCAGATGATGATACAAGTCGTTACGATGAGCAAGTCTATATGGAATGTTGTTTAACAAATGCGTTGTTCAAAAACAAGAATTGATTTTTTATGAGAGACACATGTGGTGGTAATAATTTTATGAATATGAGAAGCCAAATTTCTTTGCTACTTTTGAAACGTGAGTTTAAAGTAACTAAAAAAGTTAAAATGTATTTATTCTAAAAGGCGTCTAAACAAACTAAAAACAGACAATGAATGACTAGTTTTTTTTGGCTAAAACAGTCTGTAATTCATAGCAGTAAAGTTATTAATTTGATGGTCTACAATAATCATATTATTGTTATTTTAATATTTTACATTTGTCTCTTTCTGCATTTTTTCTGTTTGTTTTAAATCAAGAAGAGGTTTGAATGCAGAATTTAAGCCACCACCAATTTGTGTTGTGGATCGTAAATCTTCATATGATCGTTTTGTGGGTAACGGTAAACGAAAGGTGGCTTGATGCGATGAGGGAATCAGAGCCGATGTAAAAAAAGGTGTTTTGAGAAATCGCCACCAATTTTGTATGTCATGAGAATGAAGTAACGAACTCGAAGTAGAATTTTCAAATGGCAATGAATAAAATTGACGAAATGGATCCGAATGTATCCGAGAGGATGCTAACAGAAGAGACATGTCAGGTGGAGGTGGTAGTGATGGTGGTGGTGGTAATTCAAGGCGTTTTTCCGAGTAATCATCGGTAGTTGTCGATGATACGGTTAATTCATTGTGAATACGTTTTTCTTTTGTTGATAATTTTGTTGACAAACGTTTTGAGGGTACAATTAATTCTTCATCATCATCAGCTTTGGAAATTGCTGTATTATCTGAATTTGCTTGATATGATCTATTATCGTGCGTTGAATTGCTGGCTAATGATGATGTTCGTTTTCGATTTCCACCATTAAACATTGCTTTGACATCTTCCCATGCATCATGCAATTCTTCACTGTTGGACGGATTATGTAATTTTAAATGTCGACGCCAAGCATTAAAATTCTTAAGAAATAAAACAATTAATTATCTAAAAATGAAAATATTTTCATACGTACGGGTGAATCTGGTTGAATATAAGTCAAATTTGGTAAACGATGTGAATGAAAAATAAATTTATTTGGCGAAAAAAAACTATCGCAAAATGAACATCTAAATAAATAATTTTATATTGTAAATACACCATTCTACTAATAAATTAATGTTTCAGAATTTATCTATACCTGATACATTTTGCGCGTGAACTATTGTATCGAATTGGTATAAATAATCCACGACTACCCCAACCACATTGATGATAAACTTCGAAAACAAAATTGTCGGGCAATGATAATTGTTTTGTCTTTTCCAAAAATGAATTCACTAAACGTTCGGCTTCTCGTCGCGTTATCATTCCACATCGTCTTGATGAACTGGGCATTGCACCTAAGAATGATACGCTTATACATTCAACCATTATCAATAGATTTAGTAACACTTACCTGCACGTCGTAATAACTCAAGTTGAACGGGTGTACATTGAACACACGTGATACCCAATGCTGTGAACGAAAAAAAAGATGAGTTTAATGAACATGTTGAATTGACTATTATTTCTTACCAACTCGTCGATTATGTATTTCATTATAACTATAACTTTTTAATAAATCATTTGATATTTGCGCTAAACAAAGACGTTCGTTTCCTTCATTAATAAGACTCACAATGGGAACTCCACGAATGATCACCGTTCCCACATGACTATTATCGTGTCTACTCGATTGTGGAGAGACTGGGGATATTGGTGATAGTGTTAAATCATTTTCAATAATATCGCTCATTTCTAAAATGAGAAATAGTAAAGAATAAAATTAGTTAATAAATAATTAATATGAGATAAAATCATTTAAATATACATCTTGTCCTTCGAATAGAAATGTCATTAATACTACTATTAGTCTCATATACAGCTCAAAACTCTGTAATGTGGGAAGTCAAATTGTCTGCAATATTTAGTGCTATTGTTAAATTAGCAACCAGATGTTACATGTTTACAGTAAAATGATTTTATTTTCATCGTCGCTTCTTTTTTTCCTCTTTGATGTTCACTTGAATTCTGATAAGTTTGTTAGAAAAACCTATTACGAGAAATGATTTTCATGAATTTATATTGTCATCCATATATATATTTTTTTTAAGTGTCATTTTCAAAGTGATTAGTGACATAATGAAGTGCACGGATTAATCACGATCGACTTCGTTCATTTCTATACATTTATATCGGCTAAAAAACAGAAAAGAATCTTTTTTTTTTCTCACTCAATACGAAAATGTCAAAATCTACATTTTTATCCAATGAATTGTTGAATTAATCAAGTAGAAAATTTGAACATATTTAGAGTATTATAAAAAAGAAATCGTCATCTACCGTTAGAGACACAAGTCTTTTCTTATCACAGTAGAATCAAATCATCTAAGAACAAGTTTTAACTGATCAATTTAATGTAAGAATTAGAGAAACACCATCGTATTACTTATCATGTTGTTAATACGTTGTTAATAGAAAATATTTGCTACATTGTGGTCAAAAGTTTACCTAATTCTTAATTTTTTACCCTTAATTTTCTAATCATCAAATGCGTTATTAATTGTAGACTAGGGTGGCACAACGGAGTTCGAAATAATAATGTATACTCTTCTTCACACACAGTCGCAGCTTGGAAAACATTTAAGAATTGTACAGCAGTTTGATTATAGTTTGTATCTACAGTAGTAACATACGATTTAGAAAAATAGTAGTTTCTCTGTCTGTGTGAATGATGGTGCAACTCTCAAATAAAAACTAAAGTATTTTCTAATCATAATTAGCGATTTAACTAAGGATTTTTAGGTGTAGTAAATATTCTCAGATCAAAGTATATTATACTATAGATTATTGCTACTATAAGAAAATAAGAAACAAGCTCTTAGTTTTCTGTTTAGGTCAGCAGTTCAGTCTTACCAATAAAATATCGTTCGTTTCAGCAATTGATGATAGTAAAAGTATGTAATTTTTCAATTAAGTACAACTGTATTTGAAAAAAATCTTGAATGTACCTGTTATATAAATAACTTATATAATATAATCTTCTTTATTCAAAATTTTATTTAGTTACTTTAATTGAGAAATACCCTTTCTTTCTCATAGTTAATGAACGATGATTGGTTACACTCATTTCACTATCCAATAGAAAAACAACCATGAAAAGAGAAAAAAAAGAGAAAAATACAAAATAGACTCTCTCTCTCTTTCCCTCTCATTATGAGTATAATGCTTCTTCAAAAAGAGTGTCAAGTTTCAATTATTTCCGTTAAAACTATATTTCTTATGTAGAGTAAAAGTGTCAAATGAAAACGTCCTGTCAATTTTCAAGACATCTCAAACACAATAATAGAAGTGTTTATATGACTTGAATTTGGAAATAGTTACAACTTCGTTAAAATAATAATCTACTTTAATATATGAGTGTGGTGGATATTGTTTAAACAATTTTGTTTTTCCATAAATAGATTATATTATATATGTGGTCACCATCACATCCGTGATCACTTTCTTTTGTTAATAAAACTGAAGAAGGATGGATCATTGTGGTGGTTCGAAGCGTCATGGACAGGGGCGTGGCGAGAGAAAAAAGCACGAGAGGTGTAAATTTGTTTGAGAGAAAACTATAGATCACATAATAATAACATCATCTATCATCATAATTTCAACACAATAACTAAATGATAATGTTGATATCAATTTGAACTTTTTTTCTCATTGAACAAAAGTGGAAGAAAAATTTTGCTCTCAACTATTTTGGGAGACAAAGTGGAAGAAAGAATGTGTAGGTTAAATTTTGATTAGATTGGTTACCAGATCTAGGCAAGAGCTCAAACGAAACTTTTGAAGGAAAAGAGATTGTTAAAGAGAAAAGTTTTTCCAAAAGCAGGAGAGGCATACACTCCCTTACATCCCTCCTTTGGCCATGGTACTGATCATGGATAAATATGAGTAAAATATAGAAAAATACAATTGTTACAACCGCGCGCATTTACTGTTCGTATGATTATTATAAGAAAATTTCTTGGTCATCCGGCAACAATTCTTACCTCAGTGATCAGAGACGATGGAAGCGTAGGAGCAGTGGAGACTATGCTCTCACAGATTTTGAAATGTAAAAAGGTGTGGGGATGGAACATTGAGCGGTTCCGACAACTTTATAGATTTCTTTCTGTGAATTTGCTATATAATACCTATATCTTTCATATCTATGATTCCTTCTCTATTTATTACATGTGTACATTTGATGAATTACAGAAAAATTGAGGTTTAATCTCTATTCATCCGTAATCACTCACGCTCACTTTTGATGCTGGTCTATCAAAGTAGATAAAAGTAGAAAATTCTATGTTTAAATACAAGAAAAATATTTCAATATGTACCTTTAGCTTTTCCGCTGTAGAGACTTTCTAAAATCGTCTCTATAGCTTCAAACTTGCCTTGTCGCTTCTTTCGATAATCTTTCCTAATATTAGATTTCCCCAGATTATCGCAAAGTTCTAAAATTATTCACTGTGGTTTCATATTTATCAGACCTGATGCGCATTTAAAAAATAAGAATTTTCAGTCAACTATTCCCGTGAAACATCTTTTACTCCTAAAATTCCAGTTCATGTCTTAATTTGGAGTGACGGAAAAGAAAGTCAACTTCTACTACTCATCAGGTTGAATTAAAAATTTGTAAATAACAACAAAATTCTCTTTAGTAAACGCAACAACTGCGATCCTATCCACTTTTTATTTTATTCTTGCTCGTGTTATTATTACATTTGTATAGGTGAATTGTTCTTTTTCCAGTAATTCCACACACTATTCTATTTCCGGTATTTTAATTTAATGAGAAAAGTGTTTCTTTGTAAAAACACAATAGGATGTATAAAAGAACATTAGTAAAAAAACATATTCAATCAAACTACTTGTTGATTTTTGAATAAAAGAATAAGAAACTATCATATGGCATATACTTTTTTTTTCTTCTAATTATTGCGCATCGTTACCTTTCTCATCTTCAAGCTGACTAAAAATTTTTGTCATAATTTTTATACACAACGATGTGATAGACACGCTTCTACTTGACACAGTTTGTAATATAACAAAAAAATGTTCTAACGATACTCCATTGGAATCTCCATTGTTCTACAGATGTATGATTCACTTCAAAGGCCTAGTCTATACACCATAAGAGTTAACTATGGGTTAAGAAATTTGATTGGTGTTGCTTCTTATCAACTCCAATCAGATTTCTTAACTCAGAGTTAACTCTTATAGTGTATACTAGGCCAAAGATAGAAAAATAAACTTAGAAGAGAATAAGATGTTCTCTATATTGGTAACATTTCCACTATTCTCCAAAACAAAACATTTATGCTAGTCATATCGAAATAAAAAACTTTCTTTCTTTATTTAATAAACAAAAACTGAAGAGCTATGGACTTTGAATGGATGTTTAACGAATATAAAAGATGTGATTAACCGATGGTAAAGCGGTATCTTATGCAACTATTTTTCATACATTCTCCCGCAATTTTGCGCCTCTTCAAACTCATTCACTTGCTTCAACTATAATTATAGTTGTGTTCAAATTGTATTTGTATCCAGATGTTTGTAGTAATACGTTTCATCTCATACATCTTCAGTTTTATGAATTGTTCTCTTTTCTCTCGCTCTCCCCTATGAGCAGCGCAAAATCTATTCGATTTTGTTGATCTCAAGAAGTGTCACATTGAGCCGGTTCATGAAGAAATGTTGTATTTCAAGCGCGAAGAGAGACAAATCTAAAGTTCCGCACGTCACACAACAAGAATATAAATTGAAAAAACCTATAATTTGCACAAGTTAAAAAGTTGAAATACTTACAAAACTTTGTGGAGATAGTCAAACAGGATTTACACTGAACAATGCAATAGGAAAGCGACTGCAACTGGTATAGATAGACAATGATTAACTAGCTATCATAATTTAAACTGGATGATTTACAGTGAGCAATAGTTTTATGCAATATGCGAAAATATGATTTTTTTCTTTTTAGAATTGTTTTTGGTTTAGTTTGACTATCCATACTTCAAAATATATATTTAAATGCAAAAATTTGGATTATTGAAAATATCTGGTTCGATAGAAAAAGAATATAAAAAAATTTGTGTTTTTTCACCGAAATTTCAGAGGGGAATCCTTAGTCATCTTTTTTCTATTACTGCAGAGACTTTTTCGATAAAATTGCTGTGTTATCCTGCACTATATCACTCGATGTAGTTCGATGCGCTGATCTTGAATATCACATTTTTTTTAAACTGAAAAATGTTTCCTAAGTCAGAAAATGGATTTTGCCTAAAATACTAAATTTAGAAAATCTTTAGATAAAAATAATTATTTTTACTGTTGGCTTTTCCTACCATACTACAAAATTGACTAATCTTCAACACTGCATACCGTTGTAGTGAAAATCTTGAGAATGAATTTTGTTGTCTGACTATTCACTGTGAGGGAGAATACGGTGTACATCTTTAGCATAGCGGACAGACACATTAATTTGCAGTGGATAAATCATATTTTTACGCCTAATTATCACTTCCCAGTTGCTGAAAAATCTTATAAAGACTAAATAAATATTCTAGGAAACAAATGTTCGTTTTGGAAAACATTTTTCTTTTAAAAGCTTTGTGGTATAAAATAGTCGATGCAGTTTAATGAGTTGATTATGTATTTGTAGTTTGTTTTCATTAAAAATGATTATGAACTAAAAAGAATGTTATTTTACACGAAAAACTATGGTTGATTGAAAACTACGTAGAATATTCAGAGAAAGAAGTGCGTTTTTAGCATAAATTCTATTTGAAGTATGCATAGTAGGTGTGTTTGTTCAAAATTTGAGATAAATTGGATGCGCGCGATTCTACTTAAAGTATTAAGTCAGGAAAAATTTATTAGCAAAAAAAAAAACTTTTTTCAAAGACTTGATATTTAAATTTGACAATTTTTTTTTTCAAGTTGCCGGACTGCATTCATATTTAAAACCATTCTTAATTTAAATACTTAGTCAATTTGTTGAAAAAATTATTTCGAAATAGACTTAGACAGTTTTTATTTGAGTTTTTAGATATTTCAGGGTATGTATTTTCGTGTTGATTCAATAGAACTCGGAAATTAGTTTTATAGAAGAACATACTCAAAATATCGAACTTTATTATTATCTTCTTCATCGATTTTTCAACGTTCTATTTTCTTTATCTCTTTCAAACTTATGATAAAGAAAACATGTAGTACATTTGTTAAACTCAGAAAAAAGAGTGTGATGAACACTCATGAAATAAAACAGGTTATACAAGCAAATGAATACATGGAAATTTGATAAAGAAATGACAAAAACATCAGTATAAGAAAGTATATATATATATAAACAAAAACGCTCGTAGAATACCTATACATCAGTATACAGAACGGCTAATATACCGCATGCTTTTAAACAAACATGGTATTTCAAGTCTATAAATTTAGAGAAAAAAAAAAAACTAAAGAATAAATCATCTACAGTTATATTATACTAGGCTCAGTCGCAATGAAGACTTTGAGAATGAAATAAACAATTAATTCATTACTTAAAGTCGACCTTCGAACGATGTTTGAGACATAGATAGATGTATATCATTAACGTCTCTGACTGTTTTTATTCTTGTTAACATTCTATCCATAAAAAAATGTGGTAACGGTGTCGATGAAAACCATATGGGTGAATCTGGTACAACAGTTGTTTCCGGTATTAAATACAAAACATCTTGTCTACATTTTACTTGTTCCGGACATTTTGTCAAATAAAATTCAAATAATTTCACCGGACAACGTAATGGATCATCATAGTTTTCAGCTTGTTCATATATTAATTGTTGTTCTTCCATACCATGAAATGTTGTTGTTGGCGGATAATATCTTAAATAAACCGATTTACCAAATTCTTCACCGTGTGGTCCAATATTTCGTTTATAATGTCTTCGAACATTTGAGAATGATAATACATTATGTTCACCAACAGTTTTTAAAAAGAAATATTTTGTATTAAAATAGAGAATAGTATTTAGTAATATCCATGGTGAATGAGAACCTAACTGTTTTGCTTCCCATAATACTTCTTCTTCGATACGTGACACACCTAAGGCATCTGGTGTTAATAAACGAACACTAAAATTACCCAATACCAAGTTTAATGCCGATTGAAATTGTTCAAATGTTGAATCAAAAAATATATTTTCTGTACGACGTAAATGATTATCTTCTTCATGACGATTACTTGTACCCAGTGGTTTATTTTCTCTTAAATAGTGTTGAATACATAAACAGAGATAATATATTGAATCGGGTGCATATTCTTCGCCAGATAAACGTCTTGCTTCTTTTACAAATAACGATAATGCTCGATTTAATTCATCAGCACGATATTTTAATGGATCGGATTTAAATAAACGTTTGGCAATACGTGCATCAGCTTCAGCTGGTGTCAAACGACGATTACGTGTATACTCTAAAAATCATATTAAAAAAAAGAAGTTCTTGATTATGTAAAATGATCTTCTCTATAATCAATACATACGCTGATATAATCTATTTCTAATTGGCTGATTTTTTCTTTCAATCCATTTCATAAATGCTTTAACACCCAAATGCCATTTTAAGATATCTTTTGAATCTTCTTGTTCCATTAAATAAAGTGCCAAATCTGGATTATTTTGTGTACCATTACTGGTTAATGCTGATGTTGATAAATCAAAATGTTCTACATCATATTCAGTAGCAACATCGGTCGTTATTGATGATGTTGTCGTTGTCGCATGAGGTCTTCTAAATTGTATGCGATCATCTTCATCATCTCCCGTATGCTTATCCATTAATAAATTTAAATCATGATCACGACGTATTAACGGTGTTGTTGATGTTGTTATCATACTTTTTGATATGATATCACTACTACCATTGTCATTCCCAAGGCAGAGTATATCATCATTTGGAAATAATGTTTGTGCATAGGCTAATATAAATGAATCATCATCATTATCAGGAATACGTTGGCCAAGTTTTTCCAAATATTCTGAATAATGTTGAAATTTTTTATCAGATACAACAAAAAATAATGGAAATGGTACGGGAATCGGTACAGGAACGGGAACCGGTGTATCATCAACACCTAATGCCAACGGTAACGGCGTTATTAAACCAACGGGAACTGGTAATAGACCGATTGGTGGTAAATCAGCTTCTGTTTGAGTTGAACGATTAAATGTTATTGGTGAACATGTAATGGCTTTTGTACGTGTAAGAGGTTTACATAATGTTACTTTATGATTAATATAAGAACATAATGTTGATAGTGGTAAATTGCTTGAACGTAATGCTTCGCGGATATCAGGTAGATAATGCTGAGATGCTGTTGTACGGGATGTTAAACGTTCTTCATCATTTTCGTCTTGAGTTTGTTTATCGAGGGTTGAATCAATTGCGCTTGTCTTATAAAGCATTGTTTCTTAATCTACAAGTCCAAAACTCAAGAATAGTCAAAATTTCAAAACCCAAAGTTTTGTTACTTATTAAATAGAGAAGTAGCAGAAAAACATTGTTTTCTTGTCAGTGGTCAGTGGAGTCAAGCTACGCTAGTTCGACAGATTAAACTATCACATTGTTTCTTATTTCTACTGATGATTTTTCTCTCTCTCTTTCTCCTAACCGTCAGATTTGTCTGGCTTCCTTTTTCTTCTAATCTTTTCCCGTTCGTTTATAAGCAGCTGTGTCTCAATGATGTTTCTCTTTCTGTCGTTTCTTCTCCTCGTTGCCTTGGCGCGTTCTTGTTTCCCATGAGCTGTGATGGAGCGAGTATACTAAGGAGATTGCTCCTGCTTGTTTATTCATCGCATTATTCTTCTTTACGTTGTCCCCATTCTAAGTATTTTCGTACCCATCCTCTCGTTAATGATTTTTATTTTCAAACGATTTCTTCTTCGTTTTTTCATTTTACTGTCACTGACTGGAACGAACTTAATTAAAGAATCAATAATTTGTTCTTCATTATTGTTTTTCAAAATTGCTGTCTCCGTATCTTCCACAGTGAATTCCATCCATGTCTATGCTCATTCACTACTGGTATTATATATTTATTTTTGTTTTTTCTCTCTCTTATTATTGTCTTTTATTCTATCCTTAATCTGTTTTTACTTTGCTTATTTGTTTACTTGTCTCTGCTCATCACTCTTTTCTTGTGTCTGTTTATCATTACTCTTTCTGTAGTGTCGCTTAGGTCATTGTTATCACAGATCGACCCTAAATGATTCTTACTTTTGATGAATGAATTAGTTTTCGTTTTACGCGTATTTCCTCTAGAACAACCCTGTAGCAACTTAGCTTTTTAAGTTTTCTTTACGTGACATAAAGTAATTAATCATCACACCGTATTTTATACTTCTGATTTATCTGTGGAGCTCGAATATGAGTGGAGCTGTCAATCGGCCATCTTATATCAAGAAAAGGATTTCACCAATCGGAGGGAAGACCTTCAACGTTACAGCTCTGCTACTCTGTCTCGAACGAGGAACAGACTAATTTTCAATTAACTACTATATAAATTATCAGTCACTTCTTTAACCTTATGTACATCCGGAGTCCCAAGTTCTTCCATACAGAAAGAGGACAGTAGTTGTCAGCTATAAATGGTGTCTGATCTCTCAAAAAGGATTATAAATTTTTATGAAGATTTTTCCAAAGTTAGATTCTAACGCGACTAGCCTGCAGGTGTGCTCATCCATTACCAGATCTAATTGAACATATCAGTCTAATTGGGAAATTTTAAAAACTTCTTCGACTGAAACCGATTGTAGATTCCGATTTTCAATAATCGATTACCTTGTATGCAACAAATATGGGTTGGAGTATTTCTGAAAAAGCTTCCGTCCCATTGCTTTGCCCAGTAATTTTTTAAAAAGTTCAGGAACAGGACAAACTGCCTTGCAAAAGAAACTTTATCAGCACTGGTCGCACATGGATGTGGCGCACTGAAATTTTTTTTGTAGGGCGGGTGAACTGCATCATGATATTTTTCAGAAATACTTCAACGCAAAATTTGTTGCGTAGAAGGTAATCGACCAAGGAAAATCTGAATCTCTAGTCGGTTTTAATCGAACAAACTTTCAAGACTTCTCGATTAAGTTGCTATGAAAAGTTTTTGGGATACTGAACGAGCGTTAAACTCTAAAAATTATAGCTTTAAATGGTCTAAAATGTTTTATTAAGGTATCTGGAGACACTCTCAATCCTATAATAAATGATGACTATGATCAATAAAATTTCATGACACGACACCTAAGTTTCGATCTAAAATGCTAAAAATGTGAACGTGTAATAGAACCTGGCCGATAGCTCAAACTTGTCATAAGTTATAATACTTGTTGAGTATTATAACAAAATAGTTCTAGTTAAAAAAGGAATTTTTTTGAGAAAAAGACTATTAAAAGGGATAAACACCAAAGGACGATTTAAACGTAAGTAAACGAAAACTTTGCTCTCAGAAGCAGAGATAAAGTAACATCGTATAAGCAAGAATCTTGCAAACAATTTCTTGTTTATAATATTTCATAATTAAATAAAAAATATTTCTTTAACAAAAAAAGAAAATACGAGAAAAAAGACAACATATTTCTATATTTCAAGGTGTAAAGTTTTGGGACATATGTGGGTTTTGTATAACAAAAAAGACAAAAAACTTTGCAGACATGTAGAAGTCGATGAAAATACGCTGTTTTAATGTAAAAGAAACAAATTCCTCGAAAAGAAGAACGTTTATAACATTTAATAAAAAAAAAGACAACAAAACTTAAATTATTAAAAAGATAAATCTCTCGTGTTATCATACGCCATCTACAAAAAAAAATTGTACTATGAAAAGAGCTAGGATAATTCTTTTTCCCCCCCATTAAATAGGGAACTATACATGAATCATCTTTAATTAGTCGAAAACCGCTATTCAAATAGATGACATGGAGTGTGCAGTTATAAAAAACCTTCAACGAGAAATCAAAAGCAACACATACTTTCAGTTATACTCTTACTGTTTGGTGCAGTTTTTTATGCTCTTAATAATATTTGAAATTGGTTTTTGTCCAATTTTAATATGACAAGTCAAATTTTTTAAAAATTTTTGTAAGTTTTAAACACAAATTTTCAGATTCCAGAAAATTATTTTTTAAAAATATTTTTCCAGCATGCAGTCAAAGATTTGCTCTTTCGGATAGTATTCTATTCATATGTTCATCTATTCAAGAATAATTTATACAAGCAAAATATTATAATCGATCGAATACTTATTCAGTTTTAAAAAATAATCAGATTTCAAAAAGTTTTATTTCACATATGAAAATAGTAAATAAAATTCTTCTATTAGCCACGAATGAAGTCGAGACATACACTCTAAAAAAATTTTGCGTGGCATACAATGTGTGAAAAATCTTAAAAATGGTGATAGACCTAGTGTAGCAATTTTTCGTAAGAAGATAGTGCGATAAAAACATCAAAACTAGTGTGGTACTGCATAATGTTTTTTCATATTCAATGCTGGAAAACAATTATCCTAGCCCTCTTCGTAATGTAAAGAAAATGAAACACAACCTTTTTTTGTTAGCAGACACTGACTTTTGGTACCCACTGTCGGTCATGTGATTACTAAATTTTTTTAACTAAATTCAAAACCAGAACTTGATTGTATTGCATATAACAGTTTTTCTTTCAAAACATTTTCATCTTGATATTCTGGTAATTTCAATAAATTTACACAAGTATTTGATGTTGGTAAGCGATCAGTTTCTGGACCAGCTGACTGAATACAAAATTCTGGATATAATTCCTAGAAAAAGATGTCAATTATGATAATAATATCTAATTCACAAGCTTGTAAATGATAAAAATATATAAGAAATATTCATGAAACAAGGCGTATATGAATTAAAGAGTAACATTAACGTATCAGAAATCGTAATTTTTTTGTCATATTATAACTAAAATTTTGTATAAACTTGACCGTGTATAAGTTGAATACATACTTTGAAACCGAATAATGGCGGCCTTGAACAACTTGTTGTAAATTTGAGTAATTGACGTTTTTGATTTTCTGTAAAATCATGCACATTTCTCCAAAATGCTTGTACAACTGGATGATCCTTGTTATAAGGAGCTAAACAAAAAATAATACACTCTATGGGAAAAATTACCTTCTATTTGTTTACCTCTATATTGTGCATGTTTTCGCCAATCGTTCACATCAATATCTCCACTCACTCCAGATATCAATATTCTCAGTTCATTTGCATCAAACATTCTCAACCATTCAAGATTAACAACATCTCCAAGTCCTTCTCGAAATTTCAATACTTGTTCGTTAATCTAAACAATAGAAAAGAATTCTATACAATTAATTCTTAGTCTAAATTATCTACATGATCTACTTGCCTGTTTATTTAATTTATAATTGGCTACAAGATGGATATATTCGATACGATTGTCATTTGTCAGAGATATATTTCGTCCATCTGGTTTCAGCTCGATAACCTAATAAATAGTATGTATTTATATATTTTACACGTTATTCGTTGTGTACTTACTTGTGTTTGGCCAATTTCACTGTTTACAATTGTAAAATCGAGTCCCAAATCTTCAACGTTGCCATTATAATTTTTCAAATATAGTAAATTTTTGTACATTTCTGGATCAAGCGAAGCCAAATGATGTATGTCAACTTTTCCTGATGAACGACTAAGAATTTTTTGTAGAAAAAATGTTGCAAATGGCAGTTCTGCAAGAAATTTTTCATATATTGCCTTAAAAAGAAAACGAAAACACTCAAATGATAATCTATATCTCTTGTATTCTTGCATACTTTGCCTAACATTCGACCGAGAAAATAATAATGCAAGCCAAAATTTGATTCAATAAAACCGATGTTTGGATTTGGATATAAATAACCGTCACTGGTCAATTTAAATAATCCACGTATGGGATTAAATGCTGACTTTAACAATTCATTCATAAATTCACGAAATAATCCACCACCGTCAATACCGGCTTCTTCAAGACCAATCGGATTAATAAAACTAACACGAATTTTTTTTCGTAGATTTGGTTCTAAACAAATAGACAGTAATAAAAAGTTCTCTATCTCTTTCACGTATCTAATATACCATTTTCTATACTAAGTTTTTCAAATGCATCTTCGTAGATATACTCTCGACGTATTCGCACATTAATTGAATCACTTTGTAAAAATTCAGCACCATGTTGTTGTTCATTTTTATTTTGTTGTATAAGTAAATTCAATACCTAAATAGAGTTTTTTTATTTATTTTACAAGTTTCTATCTTATCTTGTTCAAAATATACCTGAACACGAATTGGAAACGGAATCACAAATGGGATTTGTTGTAATATAGTGAATAGACGTAGTTCAGTGACAGAAAATGTGAATGGATCCGGTCCTAAAAACATAAAAATTATGAAATATATACACAAAGTAGAAGGATAGATACATACCACGACTATCACGATTAAAATATGCTTTGGGTGATAATAATGATGGTTCAGATAGTCCACGTGCAAATGAAAGTATATAAAGCTAAAATGAAATAAAGTCAAGTTTGCTTAGAATTACAAAAAACAAACTAATCTTACTTTATCCAGTTTAAGAGAATACTGATTTGTAAGCCAATATTCAGCCGGACAAAAACAACGACGAACATCTCTTGATCGAAGTTGTTGTAGTAACTGTACAATCACCTAGAATAAATCAGCAATTCTTTTAGTATATCGATACATTTTGTAACAAAACTAAATCATGATGTTCTTTTACACGTAATATATGCCTCGTTTCCGGATAGGCTTCCTAGAGGAATACGAAAAGACGGTAAAAATTCTCTTTTTAAGTATATTGGGGCATATGCTGAAAAATGCTTCGATTAAAAAGACGGTTAACGTGTATTAGACTACATTATTGTAGCTCAGCGTTCCTCTAAAATAGCATCACAAATTGGACAGAGTGCTAGCAAGAAGTTTTCTAAAGTTACTCATTGAGTTATTAACAAAGATTTCTTTCATCTTCTCGAGGATAATGTTTTAGTCTTTAGCCATGTTACGATAACTACCTTGAAAATAATCCAGAATTGTGCTGCACGTCGTTTGATAAGATTCGTTGCTCTTGCCGAGGAAATTTCCCTATCTGATATTGATTGTGAACTAGTTGAAAATTCAACATTATTGGTATTATTATTCGACTGAATAGCAATTTGTTTATCGGGATACATGTATCGTATTATTCCCATACAAACATCACGTAAGGTTTTTACAATATCGGGTACTTCATTGATCAGAAAGGCAGTGGCAGCTAAAATTAATTTATTCTAGATAATTTAATTTATCAATACAATTCTTCCTCTGACTCAACTTACGCATTCCATCCCAAAATTCATCATCATGTAATGGTACAAGTGACATACTGTACATTGAACAAAACGTCATTAATAATGGCTCAATACGATTAATGTCACTATCTTTTAATTGTGTACTACCACATGATATATGCGATATTAAAAGAACATCTCTAAATCAATAAACAATTTGTAAAACACTTTGTTTATAAGATTACACTGTGATACCTATAATCCGATTCACATCTCAGTGTACAACAGACAGTCCATAATTGTCTTAGAAACAACGGTGCTGTACTCAGACCCATAAGAAAACTAGAATGAAAATGAAAATGTGCTATATAAAGGAAAAATACATGTATAACATTAATAGATCTTACCTTGAACGAAGAATTTGCATATTACAATGGAATATCAATGCATGAGCTATAACGGCCAAATTTATAAGATAATCTCTATCAATTACATGAAGAGTGGAATTGTTAATTGTTGAGACTGATTTAAGAAAAAATGACGAAACCGATCGTTTATCTAATATATTTAAACAGTCATCAATTAGTTCATAGTATTTTTCATCCTATAAAAAATGATAACAACACATACAGAAAGATAGTTAAAAGCAAGTTATCTCTTACAATAAGAATAAAAGGATTAAAGTCACCTTTTTAAACATATTTATAAAATAACACATTTATTTATTTGAGATGCTTCATTCTATACTACAGAACTCCATCAATCAAAAAGATTGGTGTATATAGAATACAGTAGAAAAATGATAAGAAAAAAATATAGAAAACGTGGGAAGAACTTTTAAGTGCAACAGTATCACTATTTTAGACTAATGTTTCGTGCTAATGGTTATCCGAATAATATGATAAATAAGGTGATTAATTAGATGTGTGAAATTAGGTAAATCAACGCCAAAAAATCGGGCTCAAAAAGAATAGTCTATGGATATGACTACTATGATTGTAGTGAAAATCTACGTTGGACAGACGAGTCAAGGAATTTGTAAATGAGAGAAAGAGCACAAGAAAGTCTTTATTGAATAAGACTTTTCAAAAATTATCCAACATTGGTTTGAAAATGTACAGATTCCTCGATTAGTCTGTACATTAGCACGAGACATTAGTCTAAAATATTGATACTGTTGTACTTAAAAGTTCTTCCCATGTTTTCTATATTTTTTTTCTTTTCATTTTACTACTGTATTCTATATAAACTAATCTTTTTGATTGATGAAGTTCTGTAGTATAGAATGAAACGTCTCAAGTAAATAAATGTGTTACTTTATAAATATGTTTAAAAAGGTGACTTTTATCCTTTTATTCTTACTAAAAATGTTCATCTTAAAAAGAAATTATTCAAGTATTTCTTACATTATTTGAAGATGTAAAATCCATTCTATCGTCTGGATTATTATCATCATCATCGATATTTTCCATTAAATTTTCTATATGTGTCGTTTTAATAAGACCAGAGATCAGATAACGTACAATTGATACAACTTGTACAGATAAAGATGATGGTATTTCATCTAAATAAGAATGAATGTTGAACAACATTGCTGTTATCGAATCAAATCTACATTTACTTACCAATTTTATTATCTAACATTAAAAGTAATGAATGTAATTGAAATAATTTCTTTGATTCTTCGTAGGCTGAAGCTACCATATTCACATTATATAGTTCAATATAACGTAAAATAGGAAATTTTGGACGTTTAACAAGTGCTGGTGTAATAATTAATGGTAATGCTGGTAAATCTGATCGTGAAAATAGTTCATTTCGTAGAGCTATAATTGCTTCATCTCTACAATATATTAAAAAAAGAAAAAATGAAGTAAATATGAACATTCGTTCTAAAACTATACTCACACAAACAATTTCCCCACCTTACAGATTGATCCAACGAAATGGATTCAATTGGTCTGGCTATCATCTCAATAATTGGATCAATAGCCAATATACGCGAATTTTTGCCAACACTCGAGGGAACTTTTGCTTGAATAACCGAACACATCTGAGTATAATAACCTATAAACGTATAAAAATGTTATTTATAAACAATTTAATTACACATATAACCCAAATACCGTTGCAAATAATATTCCGAAGAAAATATGTGGTTAACACTTGTACTGTTGAGTTTGAAACATTTACATAACTATTTACATCTGTAAACCATTCAATAAAACGTATTGGCCTCTGAGTTAATTCAAAATTTGATAAACATCTATAATAAATAGATTAGAACAATGATATTGTGATATATATTTAATTAATCTTACATACCTGACGGTATAAATTAACATTTTGCCAATTGCTATTCGCAACGAGGATGATGCGGGATCTTCTTCAATAAGTTTGGTGACGATATTTTCTTTATGTTTCCAGTATATTTCAATAAGTGACATCTTAAAAACAAATAAAAAAATTGACAATTTTAGAGCCGATTTCGAATCGAAATAATCTATATCAATTGTTGTATAAAAATATAGATAACGAAATTTTGCTGTTAACTACAGATAATTAGTTTAGTTGTCTGAACCTTAATCTGTACAACATTGATTTTGTGTTTTGAAAGTTTAAGATTAGAATAATATATAGAGATTTATTCTTGCTTTTATAAAAGCTTAAAACAATAAATCTACTTACAAGTATAACAGCATCTTGTGTGGGATTAAAACCAAACTTTAATAAGACCGACAAACGTAACAACACGTTTTCATCGACTACGGTCGTGTTTTTTTGTTTCTGTATTAAACTAGATATATGTGATCTAGCTAATTGTGTCTGAAAACAAAAACTAACGCATTAGCAATTAACTGAGTGGAAGATTTTTTACAAAAATATTTACGCACCAATTTCCTTTTAGCTAATAAACGTCTGTAGTAACTTTGGATTTTAATTGATGCCCATAGTTGTTGTCTTTTGAGCTAAATAGACAAAGGATAAACGTTAAAGATATCTTGATAAATTACTAAATTCATCCAAAGATTATTTTACCTCTCGTTGTTTACGTTCCGAATTCGTACGATTAATAAAATCATCTCGACTTGACTAAAATCGAAGAAATAGATACTTTATAGCTACAGAGTTCTTAAGCGCCAACTGCACAATAATATGAGAGTCTCGCAGGACAATTTTTCAGATGTGAATTGTAGTGCAAAGCATATTTTTTCTTCAAAGCCCTATTTAAAGTTTCTGGCTTTGTGTTTAGTTTATGTATCCTGCAAAACAAAAGTGAACTATGTAATCTTTTGGTAATGAGAAACTTACTGAGTGAGCTACTCTACTGTAATCTTGATCGGGATGTGAACGATACTGTCCAGTAAATAAAAATGCTTGTGTCATCTAGAATGAAAGTGTACATTGATAATAAACATGAAGTGAATGTTAAAATCAGATATAATTTCTTTTCAAAGATGTCTGTTCAAAAAACGCTTTTGAAAGAGTAAGTAGCGGAAAGAAGTTTTCAGACCATCTGCTATAAAAATAGTGCGTGTTTGTAGTCAAATCTGATATGAATTCTGTACAAGAGCGCGAAGGTCTGTTCCTATCAGCGCGAAAAGACTGTAATAAGAATGCGCTGAGAAATAAATCAAAAAAGATTATTTTTTAATTAACAATTATTCCAAAATTCTCTAATAAATATCAGATAGACAAGTATAACAAAAAGGTGAATGCTACAACCATATAAAATAAATAGTTAGTGTGAAGTTCTTATATTGTTACTGTTGTTGTACAAGCTACTTTGGCCACATTATTCGCAAAATATGGATTTGTTGGGAGTATTTTAATAGGTAAATCCCAGACCATTGTTTCAACATCGATTGAATTCGATGGTAACCACGTTGTACTCATCGATGGATCACTTGACGATGATAAAATTGGAAATTGTACTTTAGATGTAACAAATTCAAAATGTAATTTCCAACGAAGTGAAACTGAAATGTTACAAAAAATTACATGAAAAAAATGAAGAAAACGAAAAAATGTAAACCTACTCAAATCCATAGAAAATGTTGGAGAACAAGGCAAAGGAACAGATAATGATAAATAAGACTGTTTGGTTGATAAACAAAATTCTGCTTGTTTCGTATAAGATGTTATATTTGAACCTTGAGTAGATTTTCGACGATAAATTGGATTTAAAATTTCTTCGCTTTGAAGTGTTACGATGTACTGTAAAAAAAAATATCTCCTATTGAACATCATTTGAAACTAACAAAATTTTAGTCACTAATTATACCTGTACACAAGGAACATCAGCTAAATCAAAGTCCACAATACCCAATATATCTTCGCCTAATTTGAAACTGTTTTTAAATAACGATATGCGACAGACACGTCCATGACTATTGCTTATATTGTACACATCTAAAAAGAGGGAAAATTGTTACAAGTTCAGACTAATAGTTTATGGTATTTACTTTGATGTTGGCGAGCTGATAATGTTTGTAATACGTCGAGGGCTGTTGTGAGTGAATCAGTTTCTGTTCTGGACGAAGATACAAAAGGATTATTATTAACATTGTGATTTGTAATCGTTGTTTTATCTAATCTCAGATACTTTTCCAAATCTAACCCACAAAAAAAAAAAACACGAATTGACTGTAAAAATAAACTAGTTTTTACACTTGTACCTGGAACAACAAGTACACGAAATGGAACACGTATTAATGTTGTTGGACAGTTTACACGTTGGGTGCCAATAGTCAATTTATAAGAATATTTGACATACTGTCCTCGAAATGATGGTGCAACATGAGTTGCAATTGTTTCACTATAAGAAACTAAAAATCAAATTCTTTAATCTTTATGATTTTGACTTCGCCTTAAACATTTAGCTTACATGTTTTACTTTCCCCTGGCTGTAATTTCAAATCACAAAACAGTACACACGGCTTCGATGTGTAAATTGTTTGTCCAGTTTCACCTAATTAAACGACAAAAAAATGAAAGTGTTTTTATAATTGTAAAGTTGAATTATCGTACCTTTAGTTGCAATAAAAGCCGTTGAATCAGCAGGAATGACTTCTTTTACTACAGTATTATTGTTACTAGCTGACGATGTTGTTTTAACGTTGATCGCTTGTCGTTGAAGATTTACTTTTTGTTCATTGACATAACGTTGACAATGTAACTGAACACTTGCCCATGAAAGCTTTTCAACACTGTTTGAAGATCTAAACAGTCATATGTATTAAACTAATTCGATGGCACAGAGCAGAAAAACATTGCATTACTTTGAAACTGTTTGATCATATTCTTTTACATTCGTTCCAGTTGAAAGTGTTTCAACATTTGGCGCTGTGGTTGATGAAGATGTTGTTTTATTTGTAAATCTAATCGTACAATGAAGTGTTTCACCTGCAAGAAAAACTGGACCGCGCAAGATATCTGCAACAATTTCAATCATTACTGATTGCGTCCTAGTCTCAATGCATCTAAAATATTGAACATATTTTCATATCCAAATATTCCGGTAAACTAGATGACGTTAGAATTTATAACATTATATTACATAGCATAATCGTCTTTTGAAATCTTATAGATAAATGAAAAAACTATAAAAATGTCCTCAAACTTCTTCGATAGGCATAGGCATCAGTGATGTGTACAAAAAATATGTGGACACGTATGTCTAGTTCCATCACTAAATAAACAATGCTTAGAATACTGTACTGAAAACTCAATTTAAAATGCCATTCTTTATGTTGATGTTATGGAATACTATTCAAAACCGCACCTATGGAAATAGAAACTGGAATTCCATTTTGTTTAAATTCAAAACTTCCATCCAATAAATTTGAATTTCCAAAAAAAATCACAAAATCAGCACCATTTCATCTGATTGCATACAAAACGTTGAAAAATGAAGAGAGGAAAGTAACATAAAAGTGTACTGTAAAAAATAATAATGACAAAATGATCAAAAAGGTCAGAGTGAAGATAAGTATAGTATCAGCATCTACAATTGAATTGCCAATAAGTCGATGCTGACACACTTTTAGCATTGCGACTTTCACATTTATATTTTTATAACATAACATTCCGCGACATTATGATGATGACAACATAATTTCTCTCGAACTATAAATATGAATGAGTCATTAAAAACAAATACGATTGCACGATTGTTCGACCTCTCAGTTCGTGTCGTTCTTCCTCGTTCAAAAGATTATTATTCACTGCTCTTCTTATTCTCCTCTTTTAGCTTTTCTTATATCGTGAAAACTACCAGGATTTTCACATCGTGTTTTTAAAAAACTTAAATCATAGTACATCAAAACATTATATATATATATATATAGCTAAAAATCCTCCTTTTAGCATGATTCATCACCTAACGTGTGAAATTTCATCTAAAAAAGTGTTCTGTGTAAATGAAACTGACACGGAGTAGATCAGAGGGCGTTTTATATTCATAAAATGATCGTTGAAATACAGATCAAGCAGGAGAATATCGAGCAATGGCACAAAGTACTGTTATTTACCTTTTACCGAAAGTTTTTTTAAGTTATACATTACGTTTATGCTTTTATTTTAAGTTCATACGTGTCCACATATTTTTAAATAGAAACTATATTACTTACTGGTAGCGATATGACAAAATACACTTGTCATAGTATTATTACAGAGGTATTCTCTGTTTTACATTGAAATAATATAATATTATATGTATTTCTCTTACATATCATGTACAAAAGCGTACTAACAAGTGGAAAAAAATCAAAATAAGTTACCCAAAAAGGGTGAGATTCGTTTAGGGTAAGATATAGATTACAAAAAGGTCTTATCCTGCAGATATCTACTCGGTTTCTCTCTCACAACATTGACCAATAGTACTTTGCTTTTTTCGACCTATATACAAAAAAAATGTGAGCAGTTTAGTGTTAAATTTTGAATCCTTAATCCTACAATGCATCGCATTATTCATTCAACTTTTAGTGTTCGTAAACTGAACCTAACCCAAACCCTTTTACAATTAGTTTAGTTTAGTTTAGTTTAAACTTTATTTGATAATCAAGAAGAATAACAGAAATCATTCTTTGCAGTTTTATCGTATCTACCATGTACAGCATCGGCGAACCACTATATGGGCATATGGAAAAATCAGATCTTGAACGAAGCGAATATGATATACATAAGTAGAGAGGAAAAAAAACAGATGCAAATAACATATTTATGAAAACAACCAATAACATTTTTTGCATCATTTTAAAGCAGGAAGAGAAAGGTGAGGAGACGAAAAGAAATTGAGAAAGGATGAACATGAGGATGAGATAGAAGCTAATGGTCTGGTTTTTCAAAACGTTTAGTAGCTTTTATAAAGCTAATCATTGAGTGATAAATTAATGTAAATACATTCTTTACACTACTTGAAAGATCTCTCATCCATCTGTTCTAACGAGTACATAATGGTTTCTCGTCTCAATCTCACCACACTCGCAACAGAAATTAGCATTAAGTTGAGAAAAATGCGTCCGTAGTTGATAAAATAAAATGTTGATCGAACACATTCCTAGCTGAAAAAAAAATCTTCCGTTTTCCTTCAAGTCAATGAATTCCTTGTCTTCGCCAGTTGTCGACCGAGTATGTAGCTAATTTTGGATAAAAGTTTACCTTTTTTTATTGATATCTTATTGATTTTTCACATATAATAAAGAATAAACAAAAATGTTTTTTTTTAGTGTAGAACGTACAGAAAATCTCTATCAAAGCGACCAAGAAAAAAGAAAACGTACAAAAATCTATATACAGATAAATATACAGAAGACAAAAAAAAACAATAAAAAAAAGATTTTTTCTTGTGCGTAATGCATATCAAGACAGAGCTAAATATCATATCTAGTCGATTTACATACGCTACTTCAAAAAATATCTGTGAGTTTGATTTACATGCACAAAAATAACAAAGACGAAACTGAATAAAAAACGTGCCAGAAAGAAGAGATTTTTTTTTAGAATTGCTGATACTGTTAAAAAAAAGACAAACACATATATATTGTTCTAATATTAGAAATTAATACGAAAAGTGCATATTTAATTGTCACTGTTTGAAGAAATGCACAAAAAAACATATGAAATGTCAATAAAATTGTCAAATATTCTCAGGATAAGACTGACAGTTCGATACTGGAATGGAAAAATACAGACGAAAACAAAATACAATTGTTATTTGCTTGTATAAAGATCAGGAGGGGGGGGGGGAGAATGAAACAATTAAGTATGACTTTCATTTTCATTATTTGTTTTTATTGATGGTGTTGCATAAATAACTTGATCATAATTCTCTTGTTGTTGTTGTTGTTGTTGTCCATCATTATTTTTAATATCTGAATAATAGTTATCATCATTGTGTTGTACTAATCCACTTTTAACGTTTGATTTATTATCAACCATGGTATCATCTAATGGTGAAATATATTCATACAACAATGAATTACTATCATTATTCTGATGATTATTATTACCATTTAAACCAGAAATGCCCGTAAGAATATTCAATGGTGTTGGTGAAAATGCAACAGGATCAATCGAATAGTCATTATCATTTAAATTTATCTTCCCATCTTGTTCACGTTTTTTATCATTTATCAACAATTTCTTATACGATGAATAGGGTGATGATGTAGTTTTTAAATTATCTATAAAAATCATTTTTTCTTGACTATCACGTCTTTCATTTATATTCGTATGTTTGTAATATGTTGGATTGTAATTGACATCATAACCATTAATCTTTTGAGATTTTTCATCGAATGAAAGAGGAGCAATTGTTTCAGTTGTCTCATCCAATTTCTTGCATACACTTTCATTATTTAAACTTTCATTCATGTTACCTCCATTATCACCCGCATTTCGATCGAGTGTAACTGTTCGTGAACGAGGTGGAAATAAACTAGTCAGCATATGAGACAAATATTTTACACGACGATCATTACGGCTAAAATAAGAAGATTTTTATGAAAAATAATTTCAGTTTATGTGCAAAACTCTGTTATTTTTCTTTTAGTATCAATAAAAACATGGGTGAAAATAAAGCCTACCGTTTATATAATAAAAATGCACATAATACGACTAATAGTGCACCAGTTAATACGACGACAATCAATGTCAATCCAGTGCTTCTGTCTAGAATAAGAAAGTGTTTTTTAAAGAATGGTTCGATAAAGTTTAGCCTAAGTGTAAAAGGGAAATATCACTTGAAGAAGCTTAACGTTTTTAACATACAAAAAAAATCACATCTTTTAACTAAAATCAAATTGATTTTTTTTAATGATAAAGTGGATGCTTACTTTGTTTTTCGCCTATTAATGCACCAGTTTTGCTCAAAACTGGTTGATAATTGGTTATTCCAACAACATCATTATCTTTTTGTATTTTTGTGTCATTTTCTTCATCAAAAAGTCCTACAAATGGATTAAATTCTGTTGTACTTGGTGCTGTGGTTGTCGTTGGTCGTGTACGAGGACTATCGGGTGTAACTATTTTAAAGATAAAATAAATTATAATCAAGAAAAGAGCAATCAATTTTTAAATAAATTTACCAATAAAATAAAGTAAAAATCCTTTATACGGTCGTTTTGAGTTGGCAAAATCCGATACAAATTGTAATGTTGCTCCAATGTAATCATCGAACAATAGTTGTATACCATTTCTTGAACCGTAAAGTTTTTCACCATTATTAATTCTTAAAAAATCATTTGCTTTTTTAACCCATAAAAATCGTAATACACTTAAACCTTCAACATCAAATTCAAGTGAATAAATTTTTATACTAAAATTCAAAAAAAAAAAAGTAGATTTTATGATCATTTTTGTGTTTTGTTAAAAATCAACAATAGAGATGACATACCGATGATTAGCTGGCGTATGAATATTTTTGAAACAATCTTGTCGATTAGGATATGCATCCGGATAATTTGGTGTAAAAATGAATCCTTCAGAAATATCTTGAACATTTGTCGATCCACGACAAATATCTACTCGTGGAAGAAGTGATTGACTAAAATCTACAGAAATAAACAAATAAGAATAAAAAATAGTTATAATTGTTTATTAATGTTGTATTAGTACCTGGTATACAGGAATATTCGATGTTAATACTTTTCGATGAAAATTCACAATTTGATTCTCGATCTTGTACACTTTTTGATGAAAATGTATGTTCTTTATTTTCAATGTTACAATTTTCTTGTCCATTACATGTTGAATCAATCATGTCAAGTCTGTGTCCTAGACAATTTGAAGGTGGAAATGAATTATCAACCTCGTTACCATCGTCATTCAGTTGAGGACAAACTGATGAATAATAGACTTGTAAAATGACAATCTTTGATTGTCCAGGACAACTCAATTTAATTGATCTGTCACATGTATAACCTGTTTGATACGCATCTGAACAAAAGGATGTAACAGTTTAGTTAGATATATAACAAAAGACTCTAAATACAATAGAGACATACTTGCACAATAAACTAATAACAAGGCAATAATCAAACGAAAAAATGCCATTGTCAATGTCAAAATTTTAATAAATAATCAAAAGATATATAAATTGTCTTAATCTAGAATAAAATTTTCTAGTCATTATTAAACATCGCCAATATTCTTCTAGAATTGCGAAAGATACGTATACATATTTCAATATTTCTGTTTTTTTTGTTAGTAATATTACTGGAAAGAAACGAATTCATTTCTGTATATATATATATATATACCAGACACCATCTTTCATCAATGAATAAAAAAGAAAAATACTAATCATGAAAATATATCTTTTTTTTCTCTGAAAGAACGATCGAACATGGAAACATATTTTACTATTTGATTCATCCATCAATTATAAGCGTCATGAAGTAGAATAAACAGAACTTATTCAAATACTTACAATTTCAAGCGATTATAATGAAACTCGTACCAAAGTCAAACTCTATCGACATTTCTATTTTTGTATGATATAAATTCGACTCATCAATGTTTATAAAAACTAACTTATCTACTAGAAGAAAGATTTTTTCTTTCATAGTCATGTCGAGAAATAAGTTCACTACTGTATAATTCGGAAAAAATAAACTCACGTAAATTTTCATCTGCAACTATTTTACGAATCTATCGTAATGGACACATGCTTTTCCTTATACTTTAAAAATTTCATTACTCGTGATCTCTATTCGTTTTAACTACGTATAGATAAAATTTTTTAGTGTTTATTATAAATTTTATCAAGAAGAGTATCCTATCTATATGAAAAACACAATCTTTTACAAAAAAAAAATTTTCTGCGGGCATCTCCTCACGTACATAATGGAAGAATAATCGATCAATATTTGTCTGTGTAATAATTTCAAACGTGAATAATACTTTTTTTTGTTCGTTTTCATATGATAAGATGTCTCAATTAATAAATGTTAACATGTAAAAATAAGATTATATACGCAATCTTTTTTTTTGTTTTCAAGGTCACACTTGATAGTTGCAATATATCAAAGATAAAATAAAATAAATTTTCATTTCAATGACTATATTCAACAGAATAAGAATCTAAATAGATTTTTCTCATTTTTCTAGTTTTACTCATAAATCAGTACAATCATTCTGATAGGAACTATGTCAAATACAAAACAACTTACAACTTACAACAAAAATAAAGTAAGATTTATATCAATAAATTAGTGAAGAGAATTGATGTATGAGGTGTGAAGTAAAGTCTTTGTCCTCTCGGTTTCGAATTGCTAATTGTCAATAGATGATAATACTTTGAAAGAATCACTCTCAGAAAACATTTCAAAACGAGACAATGATGAAGAACGCGTGTGAAACTGATAATAATAATAATAATAATAATAACGATAATAATGACTTTATAATGAATTTTTTGGATAATGAACGTAATAATAGATAACAACGTAGGCAATGAAATTGAGTAAGTAAACTCAATTATTTAGTATAAAATCAACTCAATAATTTTAGTATAAAAGAGCAACATTTTCTAACTATCGTTGTGTTAATAAACTCTTGCATGAAATAGTACGCGCAACTTAAACACAATAAAGACTAAACTAAGTTTGATTTCCTTTACGTCTAACTTTAATATAACAAGAACCATCGTTACTAATAGCATGTCTTAAGACTATTTTGTTGATGTATGAGTGTACGTACTTGTTTTTAATAGTGAATTTTGATGATGATTGATGTTACTATAAGGGAGAGTGAAGTTATTTCCGCTTCTAATTGCTTGTAGGATCAAACGAAATCAAAAAACGATGTTACAGAAGTGAGTTTGTGTGCATGAGGCAAAAACCAAGTTATTCTCACTTACTAGAAAGGTGATAATGATGATGGAAAAATGGGTTAATTTTTCGTTCGAAAGAAAAACTTGCTAGATAATTATTATCTTGCACATATAACTACCGAAACAACAATATAAATCCCTTGTATAAGTCAATCTCTCATTTTTTTATCTGCCGCCTTGTTTTAACATGTGTTAAACATGCACAGTGGCGGTGCTAATCACCAAAACAACAAACTTGTATGTTTTTTGTAAGAAAGAAATATAGAGAATACGTATTTGAACTTGACAGAGAAGAGAGAGAGAGAGAGAGAGAAATCAATGTGTTCACTTCTATCGATAAGCAGTTTAACGGGTTCTCATATATATGCACATTTTATACATACTCTAACTGGAAAAAATCTTTCTTCATACATAGAAAAATGATAGTACGGTCAACAAATACCATCAGAGGAAAAAGAGAGAGAGAAAGAGAGAGAGAGAGAAATAAGCCTCTACTTGTTCTTTCTGAAGAAAAAGAGAATGAATTTAAGAAAAAATAGAGACCTTAACATCCTATATGCACGCAATACAAAAATTATTGCCATCAATGTATTCAAAAGAACGAATGAAAATTTTATAGGATAAAGAAGAAAACATATGATTAGACTCATTAGACCATGTCATGAGAGAGAGAGAGAGAGAGAGAATAATACAGACAGTAATTTACTTCTTTAATATCTACTGGAACAATCATGTAACTGTCTGAGGCAGAATACCGTGCTCAAATGTATTTTCTTCCATTTTACGCAAAATTACTCGCTGCTTGTCTTTTCTCACAAAGCGAACCAAAGGTTAATAAAACCTTGGCTTAGACCCTCCACTACAGGTTAGAAAAGGGGAAATTTCAGTAAAAAAAAAGAAGTCTACTTAGAAACACTTTCACTCGAGATAATTTTAAATAAATAATTTAGATTACGACACGCCATTTCGTAGAGCAAATCTTTCAGATCAAAATAAGACGTTGAACAGTTCTAATGATGTTTCCATCTAAGATTGCAGAACATTTACGAGAAGCTCTAAAATCGGTATTTATATATGAATTTATAATGAGGACTTATGAGGAGTAAAAACCCTGCTCCGGATAAGATAGTTTGTTCATACATATACATATCTTAGAATTTATCAGATTTTCAAATAATATTCCAATAAAGCGTTTCAATACTTAAATATAATGTACAAATCTTTTACATAGTGTGTTACAAAACAAATATACTAGTTAGGTCAGCCCGAAAAATATCAACAATCAATCCTATTGGAAATTGGCGCATATATATGATATATGACAGATTTATTTCAGTCGTTTATAGAAAAAAACAAAAACAAAAACGAAAGATCAAATGAAAATAAGTGTAAACAAACTAACAGAGAAGCGAGCGCGCTAAGAAAACAAGATAAAAAAAGAACCAACAACAGCACATCTGTCATCTACAACAAAAACAAAAAAATTTTGAAGTAAGAAGAATTTGTGTGTTTAGAATAAAAACGAGGAAAGGACACGCAAAAAATACATCTTTTCATGTACATATGTATAATATTTTGACATAGAACTACTATGTCTACACAAAACAATATAGCACAAATAAAAGAAAAAGATTCTTGAGATAAACAATAATAATTTTTTTAACTCAAACTATCTAATTCATTTCGAAATATGGAGATTTTCTTCTTAGTTTGTCTTGTATGTTTGAACCAGTAAAATGTCTAATACTAGATGCAGTGTACATACAATGGGGCACAAATACAGACATCTATTTATATACAAGATTTTCTTATATTGAAAATCATCGACTGTTTGACAATAACAAGTAGAACACAATAAGAATAATAAAGTTAAAAAAGAAAAAATTTGACAAAAAGAAATACAACAACAGCAACAGTAAGGTAGATTTGCGAAAAAAAAATCGATTGTAAATTGAAGACACATTTGTGCGGTTAATAGTTCGTACTTGAATAGATCGGCCAATTTTTAATGGAAATGACATTAACTGATTAGTTATACAAAAGTGAGAAGCAAAAAAATGATCCATGTTTAAATAAAACACCTCCTAAAATGATTTTTTTAAAAAAAATCTTAGTGGGCTAAGTTAAGATTTTAGATATATCTTCAGTTTCCTTCCATACACAATGTCCCAGAGATGTACTAAAATATTCAGGAAGCAAAACGGGTAAATGAATCTTTCCATTGGAAAGTTTCCAATAAAAAACAGCTGATCTAATTTGATAGTATTCACATATACCACACACACTAATCTACATCTAGGAAAAAAAATAAATCTATGATTAGTCTTTCTTAAACTTCTCTCTTAACTTTATTTTTTGAAGATGAAAATGAAAAAGAAAAACGAACAAATATATTTATAATAATATATAAACACACACACACACACACACACAGACACATCAACAAGTAAAAAGATCATCAACTACTAGTACAATAGTGTAATACTTCAGTTAAAATTTTTCCAACATTCATATCGATAACATGTGATATAGATAAATTCAATAATCTATCTTCATAACGTTTCATTATATTTACATTTTCATTATAAGACGCTATTGTTAACAGACAATTTGCACAACGTTTTAACATATCAACTGTTGTAAATAAAATAGTATCGACTGTTGGATTATTCTGATGTTGTTGTTGTGTTAATCGCGCAACATAATCGACACCAAAACGTTGCATTAATTCATTTGTTTTTTGTTCATAATCTTCCATGAAATTTATCAATAAAGATATTGTACAAGGTATTTTAGCTAAAACATTTGATGCTAGTATATCACATTTGACTAATGCATTCAATAGTACAACGGAAAATTCACGTTGTGTATGTTGTTGTCGTTCTACACCACGTTGTTGTCGATATTGATAATGTTGTTGCATCATATAATGATGATGTGGATGATAGGGTGGTACTTGTGGTGGATAAAAAGAATCGTCTACAATTAACCAGTCAGTTAGTACATGAAATAATGATATAATACGAAAAAATGGTGGTGTAGCCAATATAAAATCCATATTCATTTCGTGTACACTCATTTTTGATAATATTTCAATTGAAAGACGTTGAGCAGATAAATAATTTCGATTATCGCCATTCGTCGGCGTATTTATACTTGATAATACTTGACATGGTAATGGATCAATAGCATCGCCGGAATAACATGTTGCCCAATGTAATAGACCATCAATAAGTGTATGTAGTACGTCACTATCATATATATTTAATTCAATTGCACCAGCCAAATTAGCCAATGTAACTAATGTATTTTCACGAATATTTTGAACACATTCGAGCCAATAAAAATTTGATGTCTTCCTTTTCTCGGATAAATGATCATCCGAAATATCTGATAGCTAGAAAGTAAATTAAAAATATTTTATTTTAAAATCTAACGATGCACACGTACTTTACGACTAAAGCAGAAATAGGGCTTTACTCTTCTGAGAACTCATTATCGCGATATTTTTTGAAAAAGGATTTTAGAAGTTGAAAAGATGATATTCAAATCTTTTTAAAATTAATGAAAGAAAGAAAAGAATGCCCGTTAGAGCCTGCGGGATTGAGGTTTTTCGTTCCCATCCTGATCCCGTCCTGTAGGATAAAATCCTATCCCTGTCCCGATCCTGAAAATTTTTTTCTCCAATCGCTATCCCGATCCCGTTCTGTAGGTTTAATTATGATTCCGTTAAATCCCGAAAATTTTTATTTTTATTTTTGTGATAATGGAACATAGTTCTAATAAATTGGAAAAAGAAATATCCCGATCCAGTTCCGTAAGCTTGATCTCGATCCCTATCCAGATCCCGTAAAATTCTTCCTTCCAGCCCCTATCCCGATCCTGCAGGACTCTAAAGCCCATGAATGAAATAAACTTGTGTTCATAATTATAACGAGCACAGTGAACTAGTTTTCATACTATCCATACACAGCCATAAGTATGTCATTTGCTTACATTTTCCTCGTCTTCATCATCGAGAGTATTAGTTGATGAAGATTGTTTAGGTTTCGTAATCGATGATAGTGAGTGCCGCCGTTTTCTTCTATTATTTTGATGATTATCTGACTGTATTGTAGTTAATATTGCAGAAGAAGAAGAACAAGGAGAGGAGTGTGACGTTGATGTCTGCAATGTACACATTGTACTATTATCATTGCCATGCCTGAGTAATAATAATCGAGCTAATAAATGAATTAATGTTTTTGATTTACAATATTCTAGATCATTTCCAGATATAAAACTTAAATTTCGTATTATAGACGATGCGCATATACAACGTGAACATATTTGCTCATACGATTGTGAATGTGAATAAAACAGCGGTTCATCGTATTGATTACAAGAATCCAGATATGACGATGATGTAATATTTATCGTTTTAGATTCGATTTTAGTATTCACTAGACAACTACCACCATAAAGTTTATTTGCTTGATATTCATCTGGTTCATATTTTCTTTTATAACGATGAAAAAAGTCATTGTTATCATTATCGGATTCAGATGAATTTGATGTTTCTTCATTCAATTGTTCTGTTTTTGTTGTTGTTATTGATGTGCTGGCTTTTTTTGGTTTATAGATGTGATCTGAATTCAAACGTTTCCGTCCTTTTATTTTAGTCCGTACTAGTAATGATTTTTTTGATTGTTGTTGTTCCTGATGAGCGGTAGTAATAGAAGAAACGTTCATAGACTCATTTATACTCGAGGGACAGTCTTCTGTTGATAAGTTGCTATTTTTACCCTTCGGACAGGTATAATACAACCGTTCATAATAAGAATCGTCTACTCTTAATGGATCAAAATGAGTTCGAATATAGGATAATTCGTTCGTATCATACAATTCCAGAACCTAAAATAAAATCATACTTATTGTTTGACAGTGTGCGTTTATTTCAGTCTAGGATGTTTTGACTTCAATCAAAAATATACAACAGTTTTCTAGCCTCATTAGACAAATTGCATCTATCCATCGTAGATGACAATGCAATGCGTAAGGGAGCCAGTGTCAAGTGATATCTTACATTCAACGGATTCTTTTTCTCATTTCCATCATTATCTCGCATTTGTTCAAATGTCACTGTTTGTTCTACAAGTGCTTTTGATTTTAGTCGACGATATTTCATTAAATAATTTGATTCAATACGATAAAGTATATCATCGCGTTGTTTCTCTTTTTTAATTGTTGTACAAGTTAAATGAGATGAACAATTCAAATCATTAGGCAACGGTATATCGTTAACTTTTACGTTTATTTGATCATCGCTTTTATTATCTAAAGATGACGTTCTTGATTTTTTTGTTTTGGTAAATGGCGTACTAAATTCTTCGAATAATTGTTGAAGACATTTGAGATAAATATCATAAATGGCTTGTAATAATCCCGGCATTTGTTTCAGACGAAAATAGGTATTTGTTTGTTCATCGGATAACATCACATTAATAGTGTCTAATGCCCATGTTGTTTCGGCTAATAGACCACCACGTAAAGACATTAACAATTTCCATGGATCGACTGGTGCTAAACAGGAAAAAAGGAGATATGAACGATCAAATAAACAATAGATTATTCCATACTTACTGATGTCTTTTGATGTTAATTTTTTCCTTTTGCCTTTCGACAAAATTGTGGTAGATTCAACGCAATCAGGAGGAAATAAAATATCTTTTGACATCGTTGGCGGTACTGTTGTTGGCATATGTACATTAGCAGCAGCAGCTACAGCTGCTACTATTGATGGACTTGGTGGAACAGTTACTGTTGGAGTACTTGTTGTTGTTAACGACGTAGGTAGTATTGGTTGAGAAACGGATGTTGTTGGTTGAGATGATAATGCAGTCGTAGAAGAACGAAGCTAATGAAATGTACATAAGGTAATTTTAATAAAAATAAGAGTTTTAATGAGAACTTACTTGATTTATCAGCAACTTATTCATTTTTGGATCGAGACATTTCGATGGTGGAGACGAGCGGCCACTAGTGTTATTTGATGGTTGTGGTGAGATCACTGGTTCATCTATAAAATCAAAATCGAAGTGATCATAGTACTAGACTTTATTTTGAAAAGTGTCGTATGAACACTTTTCAAGATCTAAAAAATTAAAGAAGTATAAATTCTCACCATTAGATGGATTTTCTCGAACAACTGGAGACGGTACTGGCATTTCCCCAGTCTTTTTCCCTGTTGTATCATTCGTAATTATATTTGTTGAATTATTATTTACAGAAGGATATGAATCATTTGAATTTTGTGCTAAAATTAATACAGTTTGATGCAAAGTTTGAAACATAACTAAACGTATGCTAATTAACTTACCTGGTGTACCCGTCATAGAAAACGAAGATGATGCAGATGGCGGCATATTAGATGGAGTTTGTGGTGGTAATATCGTACGTGGTGGATACAAGCGATCAGTCGACGAAGATGGATAACTAGAATATACAGATGAAAAGAAGATTTTAATCAAGGAATTTATTTTGATTTTTTGTTTATTTACCCTGTCATGGGCTGTGATAGATAATTATAATGAGTTTGACTGGGTGGGCCAGTCGCCTGTGGATTATACATTGGATTATTATTATTATTGTTATTATTATCTTGTTGAGTCGTTGTCTGTTGTTGCTGCTGCTGTTGTTGTTGTTGTTGTTGTTGTAGTGGTGGTAATAGTTTTGCATTACTGTAAGGCGATGGAGGTGGATTTGTATACATTGGTGATTGTGTACTGGGCGGTCTGTGCACTGAATTTGGATATGACATTGTTTTTGGATAATTTGTCGATGGCATCATTTGACGTTGTTGTTGTTGATATAGAGACACATCCATTTCATTATAAGAAGGCATAACTCCACTGCTGCCTCCAGAATCTTGAACAAATTGATTCATCATCATATCACTGCCAGGAGGTACACCAGTTTGTTGATTTGATGGTGGTACATTCATACCATATTGCACCATCATTGGACGATAATTATTAGGACTCGATGATGGATTCATCATTGATGGAGGCATCATTTGTGTTTGACAATAACCTCTCATTGCCGCTAGAGGATTGTTCGTCACATTTCCATAAGCAGCTAATGGCATTGTTGGTTGTTGTTGTAGCATTGCTTTCATGTCGCTACCTCCACCACCGCTACCATTGTCCTGCTTTCTAGGTCCTTTCATACCTTTTTTTGTACTCGTTTTCTCTAATTCAAGTAATATCGGTCCAGGATCAATACCATTACGATCATAACGACATTCATAGTGGAACAATTTGAGAGCAACATATTTTTGTTTGACATTAAATGCTGCACTGGACGAATTAATTATATTTAATTTACTAGCTATTTCACGCCAATGTTTATTTTTTGCAACCTAAACGTCAGCAAAATATTTAGACACATAAAAGAAAAATACGCGCTTTTACATACTTCTTGAAATCCATGCTGTTCTTTAACAAGTAAATAGAGTTTGTATAAATCAATTGTTTGTTTTGATATACTCGGCAAATTCCGACATACAACATGATGTTCTTCCCATAATTTTTGTAAACGATCCACAAATAAATGTCTCTCGGGTTCATCACTAAGCTCACGTAAACGAGTAAATACTTCTACAGGAGTTGAATGTGTGGAGCCGGATGATAATTTCTAGAAAAAGAAAATGTCACTCCACATACAAGCCAAATGCAAAAATGCTTAATTAGATGCATACTCGTCTATTTTGCTTAACATCCGTTGACGGTTGTGGACTGTCAGGCCAACTTGAATTACTAGAGTCAAGATCATCTGGTTGATAAGATGACATACTTGCAGCGCCAGGTGATTTAGGCCCATTATTGCTACTACTATTATTAGTAGCACTACTACTAATTGGTGGATTTGATTGGGAAGTATTACTGATATTACCGCTTGTGTGTGGAACAGGCTGTACCTCACTTGATTTACGATGATAGTTTCCTGATGTGCTTGCATCTTCATTGGGTACGCCTGCGGCATGTGACGAAGGACGAAAAGATGATGGATCATTAAGATTTTGCTGTTGTTGTTGTGAGTGAGCATATGGATCTATAAGAGAAAATAGTATCATTTTTGGCGTCATGTGACGCATATTTTGAAGACATAGCTATCTAAGAAGTATGATAAATATGGCAGGTATGGTGTGAAAACCTTCTAGTACGCACAGCTATCGTCAGTTAGTAAAACTATTATACTGGAAAATATGAACAAGATTATTGTTAGATTCTATTGTGGCTGAAAGTCTCGCTCAAGAGATGAATTTTTTAACTTCCCGAAATGTACATTGTCAAATAACTTGATTGACTTACTCATTGAATAATTATAATTTACATTGTCGTAATTATTACTATCTCCACTAAATGTATTCAAATAGTTATTATCGTTCGTACTGTATGGATAATTACTGTTGTTCATGTTTGGATTCGCTGGACCGTTAGTTAATGCTGAATTTGTATTGTACAGTTGTTGTTGTTGTTGATGATGATGATGATGATGTAACTGTGGATTGGCGCTAGGAAATGATGTATTGCTTGAATTTGAATCGGAATCACCTGCACTACTAGCTAAACTTGGTGTCAATGATTCCGTTCGAGTCTGTCCAAATGAGTTATTGTTGAGACTTTGCTGTGACCATTGTGCTGACGAAGCATAACCATTTGGATTATTATTTCCAGCAGAAATGAGATTATCGCGTGCAAAAGATGTTAGTTGATTAGTATTAGAATATGGTCCATTTACAATATGATTCGTAGTTGAAGTGGAATATGGATTATATGAACTATTCGATGACATGTAGCGTTGTTGTTGTTGTTGTTGTGACGATGACGTCGGAGTTAATTGTGAGGGAGGCGGTGTTTGCTGAGTATTTGAATTATTAGTGCTTGACGTTGACGATAAACGTTGTGAACGATTTGGAGATAATTGATTTTGTCCACGTGGTGTTTGCGATTGTTGTTGTTGGGATGTGACAGGAGTTTGCGCTGATACCATCTGTTTCATTTGTGATGATGGGTTACTCGTAGGCATTAATCCATTTTGCATAGGCGGACCATTTGTATATGGCATATTCATTATATACGGACGATAGTTGTTAATATTTGTTCCCACTCTTGGCTGGTTATTTGGTGGTATCATTGCAGCACCATATGGATTTGTCATATAACCTGGTGCATAACTTGCAGATGGTCCGCTATTTGCTCCTCTAGCAACATACATGTTCGAAGATGGATCACCTGCAAAGCAGATAAATAATAAAATAATTAACTATTTCATCTTTTTAACGGGCTTTCTTCTTTCCGCTACCTTTCATAGTACATATTTCTGAAAATAAAAACCATCTCTTTTTTCTCAACTATAGTTATATTAATATTAATATATATTATTATTAGTATTACTTCAACTACTGCCTTGTCTTGCACATGTTGTGTAGAGAACAGGAGAGAGAGAGAGAGAGAGAGAGAAGGGAGAGACACATACAACATGAAAAAGAACTGAAGAAACGAAATGGTTCTCTTTTTTCCTATATGACGAGTATATAGCTCTTTGCATGTGGCGCAGTGCATATATATTCAACTCTTCTATTCATAGACACACATATAGATGGTTTAGAACAGTATAAGCAACAAGAAGAAAAAAAAGTTTCCTTTTCAATGAATGGAAGCAGTCCAGTTCGTTGCACGTATAACCTCATTCTTTTCTCAACCGTTGATGGTGAGATGAAAATTTGGTAAATGACAGAAATAAGAAACATACAACATCTCCAAACAGATTTTTATTTTCTTTTTCTCATTCACTCATTTTTTTTTCACCTCTCTATTATTATATATACATAATGCATGATGAAAAAGAAGAAAAAAAAAATTAAAACACATTTACACATCAAGCATACAGAAGAAGAAAAAAAAAAACGAGTAAAAAATAAGCGCATACTTATACTTACAAATAACAGCAAAAAAACAGAGAGAAGGAAAGAAACGAAACATGACCACTGCGGGACAAGAAAGATAGATCTCTTCTTCTTCTTATTCTGTTGCTGATGATGACGTTGAAAATATTTTTATCACAAGAAAGAAGGAGTGTCGAAACTGACGATTGAACAAAACTTACAAATAAGCTTTAAGCATTTCCTACTGTAATACAATGGTCCTACTGGTATTCATATTTATTAAATTAGTTTGACACATGTCAAGAAGTACATGCAATCCGAATTTTTTTGCTCTCTTCAACTAAACATCTTTTCTCCCTTTTGAAAATTTTATGTATTAAAATGATATTCTGTTAAGATCTCTCCCAAACAAAAACTCTGGTGTGTTACGATGATTAACGAATGAATGATATTCATCAGTAGTGGAAAAATGCATAAACAGTAACTATCTGAATTGGACACTCTTTCAATACAGACAAAAATAAAACGAATAGGCGTACTTAGAAATTATAAACGGACTCCCAGATCTCTCTCTTCAAACATGTTAACTCGATTGATTTTACTATTTATAAAACTTATGCAGAAGACTTATTTCAATATGATAAAAAAGGATTAAAAAGCAGGTTTTTATGCAACAAACATAATACGATCATTATTCACATTTGAATCTTTGACCCAAATATGTGGAGATTTAGTAATGAAGAGATGATATCAATAACTGTCAACTAACCTAGATTGTATGGCATTTGATAATTCATTTGTCCCACTTTTACATGAGATGGTGGTGGCATCATCTGATTGTATCCTAGGATCAAGCAAAAATAAAAAATTATAAATGAAATACATTTAAACGATTATTTATCCTATATAAAATATTAAATTTATCATTTTAAAAAGAAAATAAAGAACATATATGCATGAGCAAAATCGAGCGTGCAACGAAAAGCAGCAATTGCATAATATCAATTTGAAGACTACCTTTTTAAAGATCAATTAAATTTTCACCATATTAGCAGAATTTTATCCGATTATTTTTTTTCTACAATAGCTCAATCATTTCTTTTTATAATCTACCGTAATAAACAAATTTTTAAAAATATCATGTCTTATTTTTAACATAAAAAAAAGGCATCAAATTAGTTACTTAATCTGAATGTTAAAAATATTGAAAGAAAATAAACAAACAAACCTGAGCTCCCCATTGATGATAATTGTTGCTGTTGTTGTTGTTGTTGTTGCTGCTGCTGCTGCTGGATGTTTTCATTCGACATTTGATGTGATGATGGTGATTGTGGTATAGATATAGCATTATTTCCACTTGATACTGTGGAGGAATGCAGACGATTTTCTGAATCATTGGTAACATTCTGAAATAAAATAAGAAAAAAATAATTAACCATTACTTAGATGTTTGTACAATTCTCATTTGTACCTCTATCTGATAGTTGATAGAATTAAAGGTTTTAGATAACAGACAATTTTTAGATAAATATCCCACAAATATAGTGTTTATAGAAGAGACAGCGACGAGTAAAGTTTTTCTGGATAATTCTGTTAGTCTACTTTTTTTTTACGTTTTTGATTAGTAAACACATGTTTGACATTTGCAGATAAAGAAATAAAGAGGAAATGAAAGCACAGTATACGGGGCCAGCAGAAAAAAAGAGAAGAGAAGATTGATGAATGTCAATACATGTCAAAAAAAAATAAAAGAGAGAAAAAGATTGAATTTAAATATTCTCATGATCAACTAATTTGATACAAAAAAAAATAGTACGTCAATCTCAATATCTTTGATAAAATTTTTTGTACATATGAAGAAAAAATTAACATTCACTTCTAGATACTGTTAAAAATGTTCAATGTACTTTTTAATTGCTCAACTCAATCAAAGGATAACTATTTTTGTTCAAATAAAATTGATCTTATAAAATCTCATAAGAATTTCAGATTTTCTTCTAAAATAAAAATATTTATTGAAATATGAACTATTTTCAAAAATAATTACTTTTAATAGATAATAACATTAAATTAAATTATGAGATCAAATTATTTTTTCTTACATCTGTCTTCATATTCTTATATTCTATCGTATCATTCATACATCTCTAAAAGTATTTTGAAACTGAAAATTATTCAAATTTATATAAATTGTGCGTACAGTGAACTAACGCAATTTTTTGGTTATTTTTAATATATTATTAAATATATATCATTCAAACTACAAGAAAAGAAATATTAACTTCCTTAATCTATACATTTTTGTTTATATAAATGAGAGAATACAAGCATATAAAGTATTTACCTTTTTTCTTTATTCAACTAATTCCAGAAGTGAGAATTAATAATACCTTAATTATTGACAAATTATTAAATAATGAAAAAATTTTCTTAATATACTCACTTATTCCGTTTTATTTATTTGCACTAATGCAAAAATGACTTTATTTATTTTCGTTTTTTTTTTTTTGTTATATAGGTGTTCTCTGATCAATACAATTTGTAATTGCTATGTTTTATCAAATTTGTTTTTCTTCTCTTTATCTAATCATGCAGATATATTTCCAAATATACTAAAAATATACATACACACACACACACACTTTTCGCCATACAAATCAAAACTTATTGATAGATATATCTTATTTGTAAATGTCCAATTAAATAATACTCACACAGATCAGCTGTTTCGTTTAGAAAAATATTATAACCGATATGCCAAAAAAAAAAAAAAAAAAAAAAAATATTTAATTATAAATAAAATAAGCAAGATTTAAGAAAAAATATTTTTATATAATAATTTAATTTAATTTTTTT